AATAACATAAGAGAAGGTGATAAAAGGAAGAAACAAATAATAAAATAAAGAAACACAGAAAGAGGAAGTGATAGAATGATAAAAAAACAAAGAATAACATAAGAGAAGGTGATAAAAGGAATAAATAAAGAATAACCTAAGGAAACATAGAAAGAGGGAGTGATATAATGATAAAAAACAAAGAATAACATAAGAGAAGGTGATACCAAAGGAAGAAACAAAGAATAACATAAGGAAAGACAGAAAGAGAAAGTGATAGAAGGAAGAAACAAAGAATAACATAAGGAAAGACAGAAGGAGAAGGTGATAGAATGATTAAAAAAACAAAGAATAACAGAGAAGATGATAAAAGGAATAAATAAAGAATAACAAGGAAACACAGAAAGATGGAGTGATAGAATGATAAAAAACAAAGAATAACATAAGAGAAGGTGATAGAAGGAAGAAACAAAGAATAAAATAAAGAAACACAGAAAGAGGAAGTGATAGAATGATAAAAAAACAAAAGAATAACATAAGAGAAGGTGATACAAAAATGAAGAAACAAAGAATAACATAAGGAAAGACAGAAAGAGAAAGTGATAGAATGATTAAAAAAACAAAGAATAACATAAGAGAAGGCGAAAGAAGGAAAAACAAAGAATAGCAAGGGAAGATAGAAAGAGGAAAGTGTTTGCATCGGAGTGCCGCGCATGCGCATTACCAACTGAAACACGCCAAAACATCACTGAGCTTTTCAGTCGGTGATGTTTCCGCACAAGTGTAAACGAGTGCGCGAAACATCGCGACTTTTCAAAATGAGGTATTTGACAGTATAAATGCGCCTATGTATTTCCTAATGTATTAATTTGTCTCTCTTTTTCAACCTTTCTCTCATGACAGATACCAAGGTCCCATCAGCTCAAGGTAGGATAATATCTCTTCTTATTTTATCATTTTCTTCTTAGCACTTCTTTTGAAGAGCCTCACTTGTTCTTCTTCTTTTGCTTGGATTCTCTTCATTTCTATTTTCTTCTATTCAATTCTTGTCTCTCTCTTCCTGTCTCACTTCTCTTCTTACTTTCTTTCTCCTTTTTCTTACTTTCTCTGATTTTCCGTTCTTTAGCCTCCTTCTCTTAAGTACATGTATTTTCCTTTACTTTCTTTTACTTTATCCCTCCTTTTCTTACTTTGTTTTACTTTCTCTTACTTTCCATTCCTTTGACCTCCTCTTACTTTCTTTTCCTTTCTCCATCCTTCTCTAATACTTTCTCCCTCCTTCTCTTTGTCTTACTTTCTTCCTCCTTTTCTTGCTTTCTCCTTAAATCTCATCTTACCTTCTCCCTTCTCTTACTTTCTGTTACTTTCTCTTACTTCCTCCTTCCTCCTACTTTTTCACTCTTCTTACTTTCTCTTAGTTTCTCCATCCTTTTTTTTCTTTTACTTTCTCCCTACTTCTCTTGTTCTTTCCATTCCTTTTACCTACTTCTCTTACTTTCTCTTACTCTCTCCCTCTGACTTTTGCTTACTCTCTCCCTCTGACTTTTGCTTACTTTTCCCCTTCTCTTACTTCCTCTTTACTCTCTCCTTCCTTCCTTCTCTTAATTTCTCTTACTTTCTCCCTCCCTCTCTTACTCTCTTTTACTCTCCATCATTCTCTTACTCTCTCTTACTTTCTTCCTTCTTCTCTTTATACTTTATTTTACTTTCTCTTACTTTCTCTTACTCGTTAATAATGAACGGTACATTGAAAACTGGATATAGTAAAACAACAAAAATAGTGAACAAGAAGATTCTAGGCGAGCCTATAATCTTCTTTGTTTGAGCTTCTTCTGAGTTTTGACAAATGTTTATTTTAAAGGGATCGTTAAACTATGTTAAATCTGAGAAGCACGGCCCTACATGTTATCGGTGTTGTTGATATGGTGTTAGATTGAAGCCGTAAGACAATTGCGCTTCAAAATGATCAAGAAGTGCCAAAAAAAGTAAAAACCTTTAAAGATGAAGTTGAGTTCTGGTCATGCGATTGCATTGTGAAAAAAACGGTGTGGAACCGACCAGAAAAGGTTGATCATCTAGCATATAAGAATTTGTGTGTATTGCAAGGTTCTGGAATCATCAAAATGATAAGAAATTTGGCCAAGTCTTGGTAAAGTTACAAACACTTGCACAAAAAGATGTATATGGGACTACACGAACACGTGGCGTAAAAAGCCGCCCCCCCCCCCCCCCCCCCCCGATTTTTACAATGTTACATGCATATTTAGAATATGAAGGCATTTGAAGAGCCATGCTTTTCAGGGAACATGTCTTAACTGATGTTCTTCCACACTTGCATAATAAGAATGATAACGCTCACAAATTATTTTTCACCTCTTCCCAGAACTCAACCTTCTCTTTAAGTGACCGGTTTTACCATAAGCAAAATTTGATTTCGGTTTTCAATCATAAATATCTTAATAATCAGACAGTGGCACAAACATTTCACTTGGATAAACTGTAAAATCATTTGTTTCTCTTTCTAGTATGGGGCTACGGCTTTCTGTTTGTGACTATTATCAACATGAGCGCATTTGGCGGTGTATGGATCATCCCACTCATGGATAAGAAGATTTATAAAAAGGTCATCATGTTCCTAGTGTCCCTCGCTGTGGGAACGCTCACAGGCAATGCTCTACTCAGTCTTATACCAGAGGTAATTAAGCACCCCCGTTTCACTAATTGGTACAGTCCTGAAATCCCTGACTACTTATTTAAAGTAAGAGGTAATTAAGCACCGCCTCTTTCACAAAATGGTACAGTCCTGAAATCCCAGACTTCTTTTTTAAAGTAAGAGGTATCGTACAGTATAAGCACCCATTATTTCACAATATGGTACAGTCCTGAAATCCCAGACTCCTTTTTTAAAGTATTAGAGGTACAGTACAGTCCTGAAATCCCGGACTCCTGGGGGACGTTTCATGAAACAATTAGTCAGTGGTTTTCACCATCTAATATCATGTTTACCAACAATTCTTTTGTCACCGACTATTTTCCAGGACTGTGATTGGTCAAATTTAGTCAGCGCTGACTAAATTGTCGGTGAACATGATATTAGTCGGTGAAAACCACTGACTAATTGTTTCATGATACGCCCCCCTGTTTTAAAGTAAAATCCTATACTAATTGCAAACCACTTTAAAAGAAAACAAAATAAATCAGAGAAGCAGGCCTTTGAGAGTGGTAACAAAATCAGACAAAACTAAAAGTTTTTGAGAAACATTTTTGAAACTTCACATCTCTATATACATGTAGTGTACGTACATGTATATGATTTACAAAATTGGCTGACTCTGTAATGTCACTCTGACGTAGTGCTAGACAACTTTCCCATTAGTTCCAACACACAAAATGACTAAAATGTAATTAAACAAAACAATTATGCGTTAGGGGGGTCTTTTTCAAGAGGAATAACATGCTATCTGTAATATTTATTGAGTAGTGCCCCAAGGGTGAAAGTGCTAGGGTGCGGAACAGAAAGTAACACGTCTAGATGAAATTAATTGTTAGCATTTCTCCCTCCGAACCTCTTTTATTTGATTTGATTTGATTTGATAAGGTTTTATTCGAATATTCAACAATACAGCTGGAGGCTGATACAAGTGAATTTATAGATTGCAAATATTGGAAAACTACCTTTAAATAGATCTATCTGTATACTTGGCACAATGTCATGACCTTCGTTGCTAGACGGTTAAGCAGGCTGTTCTTAACCAATGAGTCATGCCAAGAAGAAATGACTGAGTCTGGAGGTAACAAAACCTCAAAAATGTGGCTTTTTTTTTTTGTTGGTCATAAGAGGCTGATATGAAGAAGTACCGGTAGTGAAAAATAATGATTCAAGTACATTTTGTGTACAGTATTGTTGTGGAATATTAATTATTTGTGATTTTCACCTGCTGGAATTTTTCTCCTTGTACAGTGTACATGTGTATGTAAAGATGTACCTTGCCCTCTCCCTCCCCCCATACATTTATGTATTGGCAAATTTGAACAAAAATATAACTAGTTGTGACTTACATGTATATTGCAATTTCTTTTCTCTTATGTTGGTTGTCTCTGTATCTACCTCTTTTCTCACTCTGTCTCACACTTCTCTCTCTCTCTCTCTCTGTCTTCCTCTCTCTGTCTCCCTCTCTCTCACACATTTTCTCTCTTGTTCTTGCCTTCCCTCTTTCTCACTGTCTGACTCCCACCTCTCTCTCTCTCTCTCTCTCTCTCTCTCTACCTCCCCCACTCTCTCCCCCTTCTTTCTCACTGTCTGCCTCCCATTTCTCTCTCTCTCTCCCTCCTTCCCTCCCTCCCTCTCTCTCTCTCTCCCTCCCTCCCTCTCTCCCTCTCTCTCTTGTTCTTGCTATCCCTCTTTCTCCTCTATTTTCTCCCCCTCATTCCCCCCTTCTTTCTCATTATGTCTGCCTCCCACTTCTCCCCCCCCCCCCTCTCTCTCTCTCTCTCTCTCTCTCTCTCTTTTTTTCTCTCTCTCTCTTTCTCTCTCCCTCTCTCTCTCTCTCTCTCCCTATTTCTCTCTCCTCCCCCTCTCTCTCTCCCTCTCTCTTTTTCTCTTGATCTTGTTGTCTCTCCCTCTTTCTCCTCCACCTTTTCCCACCCCCCCCCCCCCCCAATCTCTCCCCCACACCAACTCTCTTTCTTTCTGCTCCCGTCGTCTGCCCCCTTCTCCCTCTTTCTCTGTGATCTACCCCTAATCCAATCTCCGTCTCTCACCCTCTATTTTCTCCCTATAGTCCCAGGGAATCTTCTTAGACGAGGCAGGTCATGATTTCATTTGGAAGAACATGGTCGTCCTGGGAGGCATCTATCTCTTCTTCAACACAGAGCGCATCCTCAAAATCATCGCCAGCAGACGAAGGGTGAGAATTTTTTTATTTGTTTTCCTTTTTTTTTCTTCTTCTTTGTTCTGTTCTTTCTTCGTCAAGTAATTTGTTACGTCTTCTTGTTTACAGTCATTACGTGTTTTAATGAATGTTGTCTCTGTTGGCCGCTATTATTCTTTGATCGTTTTCCATACTCTTTTCACACTTTCAGTGGACCTCTCCATTTCCTCAAAATATAAATGCAGTTAAATTTAAAAAATCAATTTTTGTCTTCCTCAAATGTATAAATTACTATTAAGATTTGTTTATTACAAATGTAACTATGTTTTGTATACATTTTACATTGTATTCCTTATTATGAATTGTATTGTTGGAAAATAAAAAATAAAAATGAAATGAAAATAAAATGAAGCTAGCTCATCAGCATCATTAGGCCTGTTTTCATCAGCTCAAGATTGCCAAATAACCCGCTATTTTAACTTTCCGATCACAAATTATCCAGCTAATTTGCATCTTCGTCAGCCTGCAGTTGCAATTAGCGGGATATTTGGTCGAGATAATCATCCCAAGATATCTTGGGCTAGTTTGCAAAATATCCCGCTATTTGTCCGGTGCGTCCTCACCAGCCCGAAGACTTGCACTATGCGCAGACGCTGAGCAAAATATCTCGAGATAATTTCTCGAGGTCGAGTCTCGAGCTGATGAAGCCGCAATTTGTAACTTCAGGCTTATTTTCCAAATCAGAAATAGCGGGCTATTTGGCAATCTTGAGCTGATGAAGAAATACTTGATGCTGTTCATCCTGAGGGCCCTGCAATTATTATTGCAGAGTGATTAATGTGAATTACAAATATATCTTGCATAAGGATGATAGTGATAGGCTGGGAGGGATAGACGGAGAGAAAAGTAGAGATACATGTACAAATGTAGGGGAGGGGGTAGAACTTATAACAATCTTTATATTTACGTACATGTACATGCATACGAACTCATATAATTGATTTGATTTGATTTGATTTATTTATTTATGTTTGATTTTCTTTTTCTTTTGCATTTTTACAAATATATAACAAACAAATATTGCAAATTCACACATGACAAAAGAATATATGTAGAATAAAGTAAGGCTGGGTGTAACTAATCGAGAACATCAAACAGGAGGGTTGACAAAATAAGCAAAGCTTGATAGTATGACTACCCTCAAAGGGTACATAATAATACAAATATGGAGGAACAAAATATTGGTAAAAGGGGGAAAAAACAGAAAAAAGAAGAGAAAAGAAAGAGGGGATGCACATCAATATTCACAGACTCTACTCGGTGTTTCATCAGTAATTTTACTATTTTGTTATTCTTTATATGATATATGTTTTCTTATGTTTACTTTGTGTTTTTATTGTATATGCACAGCCCCATTGTAAAACAGCTGAACTGGGCTTTTACCGTCAATAAATCAATAAAGCAAATCAAATCAGAGATGGGAGGGGGGGGGGGATCGAACAAAGCAAATAATCATGCTTGTGGGTAATTCTTTTTTGGAAAAGCATTTTTATCTTTATGACTCTCTGTTAAATTTGAAAATGGTTATCTCTTGTATTATCTTACATGAGAGAGCAAATTATATTGCTTGTGTGTAAAACAATTTTTGTAAATGTACTGTTTATCTGAATGACTCTCTGTTGAATTTGAAAATGGTTAACTCTTGTTTTATCTTACAGTAGAGAGCAAATTATAATGCTTGTGTGAAATTGCTTTTACACTGTAAAACAAATTTTGCAAATGTACTTTTTTTCTGAATGACTCTCTGTTGAATTTGAAAATGTTTAACTTTTGTATTATCTGATAGGATAGAGCTAGAAGCAAGTCTGATGTTTCTCAGCAATCAAGCGTCCAGGTGACCGCCATGCACAACCTAGACTCTAATCCAGACCGAATCGGTTATAAATTCACCTCGCCCACGGAAGCCATGGCGATGACGGACGCAAGAGAACGTGGTGAAGCAGCGAGGGCAAAAACAGCAAGTCAAGAGGTAGGACTAGGAGTGGTGTTGTTATCTAGATTTTAGATCCCTTTTCGGAACCGTCCCGTTAAAGATAAAGTTGAGTACTGGTCATGCGATTGCATTGTGAAAGAAAAGGTGTGGAATGGATCAGAAAAAGTTAATCATGTAGCATGTAAGTATTGGTGTGTACTGCAAGGTTCTTGAGTCATCAAAATCATAATAAATTTGGTAAAGTAACTAGCACTGTACACAGGAAGATGTATAAGGGACTACACAAATGGTGTCCGGTCTCGACACCTTGATTTCCTAATCTTTCTATGCTCATTACTCAGCCATTATACATTTTCTACCACAATTGTTTGGCACATGACATTTATTTGTAATCTTGAACATTCAGTGTAAGTTTTGTTTGATTCTGTGAGAATTTATTTTCATTTTTTACCAGAACTCAAGTTTATCTCTTACTTTTCATAACTCGATCCCAGATTGTCCCGGTTTCTGAAATTGCTAACAATCTTGTGTATGTATTAGGCCTACTACACTATTTCGTTTTTTCAACGTTTTTTTTCAAATTATCAAATATTTGTGGTGGTACACAAATATTAGAAATTGTTATATTTATGGATATTTCAGCTGTCTCTGAACCAATTTTGATCAAACAAAGATGATTTTGTCATTTAAATTGTATGTTCTTTCAATTGTACCTCCACAACCCCAAACCTCCAATTCTCAAAGAGTCAAACTTTATCTCATTTGCAGGCTTTGGAGGAAGGAAGAGGTTTACTTTATTCTACACCCTCAGGAGATGATAGTCAGGTAATATGATGGTAACTGAAATATTATACAATGTACATGTACAGTTTATCAATGGTAAATGTAAAGTAAAATATGAGGATGGATGAACTATTCTAGTTGAAGGGAGGCAAAGCTTTTGAAATGCTTACATACATGTACAAGGTGTGGCTTGGTGTCATGGTTGCATTTTAAAAAAAAACAGAATAAACTCTTCCAACAGCAAGAAAATTAACCAAGCAAAAGGAGATTATAGAGATAATGTGTGGCTGTTACATGTAGGAGCTAGAAAGGACTTTGTGTTAATAGAGTACCGAAGCCGTGACATCATGAAATTTATTTTTAGAATTTCTCAATTTTGTCTTCATTTTCCGAAATAGCATAAAAAATAATGTCCAAATGTCGAGAAAAAAAGATTGCCTATGGGAACTCAGTGTTATTTGCTCTGGCTCCTAATCGTTAGGAGCCAGAGCAAATAACACTGAGTTCCTATGGGGAGTATATTTATTCAGATGGTCATATCTCAGCCAATACTTAACATATTCAATTTGTTTTCGACATTTGAACATTATTTTTGAAGCTCTTTTGGAAAATGAAGAACAAATTGAGAAATTTTTAAAATAGATTTGTGATGACGTCAAACTTCACCACTCTATGTATTAACTCCATTGTGGTACATATCTGTAATGGCTTTTTCATCATTCAACCATTCAAAATTATTATAGCAACAATCAGGGATTGAGAGGATTTGATACGAATTTTCATTTGTCCTTTTCTAAACATTTAATCTAGTTTGAAGTTATGTATGAATACATACTTGTACAATTATTTATATTGTTTTCATGTATCTTTCAACTGAGTTTTCCATATTTGTAATAATTATAAGAAAAATATTCATGTACCATGTGAATGAAGTTTTCTGTGTCCAGTCACACAGTCGTAGCCTGCGCAGTTCCACAGATAAATTATTGTTTCAGATTCCCCATGGCAAAACTAAAGTAACTCTCGGGGACCGTGCTTTTGCTATTGCTGCCCCAAAACTATGGAATAGCTTGCCAATAGAAATACGAAGCACTCCATTTCTCAATGTTTTCAAATCCAATTAAAAAACTTATTTGTTCAATTGAGAGATCTTTTTTTGTAGAATTTAGTAAAAATGAGCTCTTAACCAGCGCAGCTGAATATCAAGCTGTGTTATATAAATTTATTTAAAAAAAGCTGTGCTATATAAATTAATTATTATTATTATTATTATAAATGCAAATTCAAACACAATACCACTTCATCTCTTTGATCACTCAGATATCATCCCTTAGTGCGATCTGTATAAAAAACACAGAGAACGATGAACCTAAACCAGATTCCATCCTCACAAATCACAATGGCAACGGTAACCACAACAAACACAATGGCCACGCCCACGGCAACGGGGACCATGCCCATGGCAACGGTGACCACCATGGTCACTCCCATGCGCAGATATACGACGGTAACAACATGATCGCCACAGTAGCCTACATGATTATCTTCGGGGACGGACTTCATAATTTTATCGACGGTCTGGCGATCGGGGCGTCGTTCACAAACTCTGTCTACCAGGGGATCAGCACATCCGTGGCCGTCATCTGTGAAGAATTCCCTCATGAGCTTGGTAAGTGAGCAAGGGCAATGTCTAGTTGAATACAGACCAGGGGGGTGTTTCACAAAGATCCTAAGTTGAACTTAAAAATTATGGAAAGACATTAGCATCTACACATTGTATGAAAATATATTGTAAAAGTTATTTTAAAAGGCATAAAATGTTGATTCAAATCACTCATATTTTCTATTATCAAGGAGATTTCAAGTTCTTGATGGGGAATTTATGAAAAGCCTAAAATACTTCCCATTTTTTCCTTTTGAATATATTTTATTTTAAGGCTACAAATGGCTCTCCATAATATTTAAGTCCAACTTAGAGTTAAATTCAACTTGGGATCTTTTTGAAACGCCCCCCAAGACACTAGATCATTTTTGTAATACAGTCAAACCTGTGTTTATTGTGGTAACCTCTTTATGAAGGCCACCTCTCCATAGTGGTCATGCATTTTGTCTTCCTGGAGAGAAAACTATGTGTTGTAGAACCTGTCTAGAAAGGTAACCTGTCTACAGTGGCCACTTTTCACAATTTTCTTGGGTGGCCTTTATAGACAGGTTTGATGATCAGACCTGATAAAAACCTGATTTAAATCGGTTTCCCAATTTTTTTTTATTTTTCCCGATTTTTTCCTGATTTTTTTTCTTCTTCCCGATTTAAAAAAAAAAAAAAAAAAAAATCACTTTTTTTTTTTTTTTTTTTTCTTTTTTTTTTTACCATTTTTTTTTTTCTTCCCTATTTTATCCTGATTTTCCCGATTTCCCTCTTATTTTTTCTATTCTTCCCTATTTTGCCCTGTTATTTCCCAATTTTGTCCCAATATTCTTACTCGAAAGGGGGGAATGTTGCTAGATGCCATTTTTTCCCCCGCGAATCCTCTTCTTTTTTTTTTTTTACTCAAAGGGGGCGTGGTTTAGAGGGAAACAAAAAACCTTTTTTTTTTTTAGTGCTCACTATTACCCCTGGACGATATAATCAGATTTAATACATCTTTGTGACGTGCCATGATACAAATTATTTTACCCACTTGGTACCAATAATTGTGTCTCACTTGTCAATAATGGGTCAATACCTTTTGCTTCGTAGTCCTAACAATTGACCAGATGTCCATACAAAGAGCAAAGAAATAGCACACACGGTATCAAGTTTTGGTCTGTAATCATCGAGAATTTCAAGTTAAACAGTTTCAAAATGCAAACAAGAATACTTCATGAACCTGAATTCAAGAATCACTCATTACCCATATGTATTTAAATAAAAATATCTATATCATAGACATTGCCACTGTTATCTAATTTTTGATGATTGTTCATTGTTATGTTAAAATGTAATTATTTTGTATGTATTTCTATATTCATATACATGTATGCACCTTCAAATGTCTGAAAACAAATATTTATGTATTTTTAACATGACAATAAATTACCTTGAATCTTGAATCTTTTTGCAAGACATTTCATAAGAAAATTGTAGTGATCAACAAAAAAAAACTGAAGAAAAAAAGCTGATCAAGTTAGTACTACACATCGCCATCAATAAATGATAATGCTGCTGCCTGTATAAGTGGTCCTTACTCCTGGAAATGCTTCTTTTTTTTTGGAAGGGGGCGGGGTTCTGAAACAATTACTATTACACACGAACGTTGTATTCTCTATTTTGTCAAGAAAGAGTAATGATGAATTTCATTCAATGGTCCTTTAACAGGTGACTTTGCCATCCTTTTAAATTCTGGGATGACCGTCAAGCAAGCCGTATTAGCAAATTTCCTGTCCGCCTGTACCTGCTATGTGGGCCTTATCTTTGGGATCATCCTGGGAGAGAACTTCCATGCCAGCGAGTGGATCTTTGCTCTGGCGGGAGGCATGTTTCTCTATATCTCCCTGGTAGATATGGTGAGTCCCCAAACAACTATTCCCTGGAATATTGACTTGAGGGAGATACCAGGGGAGTGTTTCACAAAGGCTAAGATCAACTTAACCCTATTTAGCCCGGGCTATTTTGAAACTGCATAGCCCAGGGGGGGCTTCTCAGGCCCCCCCCCTGTGATCTCGGCCGTGAAATGCCCGATCGCCGCGAAAATTTGCATACATGTCAAGTGAAGTGTATAGAATACTATGGTAATTTCAATTTTTTTGAAAAATTCACTCATTTGCATATTTATGGTAATTTATGCAAATAAGGTCATTAAATTCACATTTTTGCCCATAAATCAGACATTATTCATATTTAAGCATTCTTTCTCACTACATATATTTGTTAGACCATTTGGAATAATAATACAACACAAAAATTTGAAAAACCAGGGTTATTCCTTATGTTATCTATTGTTTTGATAATTTCTTATGTATTTCTTTGTTTTTTTAACTTATGTATTTTATTGTTTTTGTTGTTTTATTTCATTTCCAACTATAATTCAACTATTTTGACCCAAAAATAAACACCTAAAATCTAAACAAGACCAAATAACCAATGTTTTACCTCTTTATTTGAAAAATGAGATTTCCATATGTTTTGTACACAAATCACAAAAATGAGCGATTTTCGGGCTGACATGCGAAGACAAAAGGACACGTGACTTTGTAATGGTAGGTCCGATTTTCGAAAAATTTCTTTCAAAAGTTGCGCAAGACTCGAAAGAAAAAAGTCACAAAATTTCAGTGCAAGATTTTCTTGCGTTAAAAAATTCTCGCGAAAAATGTCGAGGGGGGGCTTCTCAAGCCCCCCCCCCGGGCTAAATAGGGTTTTAAGTTGGACTTAAATATGACAGGCCATTCATGCCATTGGTTGCTCTCACCATTTGTCTCTTAATTATGATCTTCAGATTTTTAAAGAAATCTAAAGAGCTCAATTCTGTAGACGTGTGACCATGATCTGTACGTCCCTTGAGAGACCATTGCCAGTAAAATGATGAGAGCAAACAGTGTCATGAACGGCCTGCCATAGTTAAATCCAACTTAAAGTCAATCTTAGTCTTTGTAAAACACCCTCCAGGAAATATTGCCCTTACTGAAATCACATTGACCAAGTCGAAGACAAGTCGTTTTAATTGCATGGTAAAATTACCACGTATAGGTAATAATTTTTGATAATGATAGATTATGATAAACTTAATTCTCATCATCATCATCATCATCTTTATGACAACTACCTTCAAGTTGATCATTATCTTCATTACATCCATCATGAGTATCTTCACCTCTGTTACCACCTATATCATCGTTCTCATCATCATCATCATCAACACTTTCATCATTACCTCTTCAACCTTCATATTGTCTCTTTAGAGCCATAAGGGCGTTAACTCTGTGCCAAAGTTGATGCGTTATAGCCTTTCCAGAGCTGCCAACCATTCCGTTTTTGCCGGAATTACTCTGTTTTTTCCTTCAAATTACGGTATTACGTTTTTTCTTCATAAAATACGTTTTTTAAATAATTTTTATAATTTTTTATTTATTTTTTTTTAAATCTTTTTTTTTATTTTTTATTTTTTATTTATTTTTTTGTACATACCGCACGTCAAACAACTGCCCTAAAATGGTGATTTTATCACAAATTGAATACAGAACTAATTTTAAAACCTACTTGAAGAGAAAAATATTTCTCAAAAAGAATGAAATGCCGATAATACCAAAATAACCACAAAAAAACTACCTGCTTGTATGGAAAAAACAGCATGATAAATGAACATTTCTGCATTGGAAGTGTGTCGCGCGTGGTTGTAAGTTTCGTTTTTATGGATTCCTTTTTATTGCTTGAAATTCCTTTTTTTTGCCATCATGATTCCTTTTTTTGGTCGCCCAAGGTTGGCAGCTCTGCCCTTCTGGCTCCACACAAGTGATATCATCATCACCATTACCAGCACAAGCATGCATCATCACCACAATCATCACCTGGGGGGTGTTTCACAAAGGTTCTAAGTCAAACTTAACTCTAAGTTGGACTTAAATATTATGGATAGCCATTTGTAGCCTTAAAATAAAATATATTCAAAAGCAAAAATTCAAGTATTTTAGACTTTTCATGATTTCCACATCAAGAACATGAAATCACCTATGATAATCGAGAATATGAATGAATTGAATCAACATTTGATGCCTCTTAAAATAACTTTTACAAAATATTTTTAATGATGCTAATGGCTTTCCATAATTGTTAAGTCTAACTTAGAGATAAGTTCGATTTAGGATCTTTGTGAAACAACCCCCAGTACCACTACCACCAGTACCATCATCACTATCATCATTACCAGCTTTACTATCATCACCACTATCAGGGAGAGAACTTCCATGCCAGCAAGTGGATCTTTGTCGTAGCAGGAGGAATGTTGTCATTATCATCATTATCATCTTCATATTCATCACCAGTGCCACCACCTTCATCACCATCATAATGATTTTCATGACTACCACCACTGCCATCATTATCTTTACACTTACTGCGATCCTTAACATCATCATCACAATTACCTCTACCACCATCACCATCATCTTCATCAGGACCACCACCAGCCTTACTATCATCATCATCATCATCATCATCATCATCATCATCATTACCATCATCATCATCACCATCATCAACATCACCATCATCATCATCATTACCATCATCACCATCATCATCATCATCATCATCATCATTACTACCATCATCATCATCATCATCATCATCATCATCATTATTATTACCATCATCATCATCATTACCATCATCATCATCATCATCATTACCATCATCATCATCATCATCATCATCAACATCATTATTACCATCATCATCATCATCATCATCATCATCATCATCATCATCATCATCTTCATTGGGACCACCACCAGCCTCATATGATTATATCCACCACCATCATTATCCTCATCAGCACTTCATTATTGTTGCTGTCTTCTTCATCATCATTCCCAACATGAAAAGGAACAAGATCCTATTGTATTTTGTTACAATATAAATTTGAAAATGTGTAAAGTCTATATATTCTTCTCTGTTTGTATTCCGTTCCAGCTTCCTGAGATCAACAATGTCGGAGGAGGAGACCCACACCACGAGGATCAAAGAAGCATCCAGATCTTCCTCATCCAGAATGCTGGACTCCTTTCCGGGTTCGGTCTAATGTTGATCCTGGCCTTGTATGCAGGTCAGATCCAGGTCTAACTTCCAAGTATGGTCTAGACTAGGCCACTTTCTGGTCCTGGAACTTTTATGCAGGTTGGATTCAGATGTAACTCTGAAGTGTTAGTTTTCAGCCTCTTTCATGTTCTGATACGTTCATCTCCTTCCCTGTTGAGGGCAGCAAATTCCATCCAAGAATCATAAGAGAGCATTTAGACTGCAAGTAAAAACCATTGGTTTTTTACTCCCATTCCCAAGTTTTGTCTAGAATCCTGGCATCAGATTGGCTGAGAGCCCTGGGGGTGGTTCACAAAGACTAAGATCGACTTTCAGTTGGGACTTAACTATGGCAGGTCGTTCATGCATCTCTCACCATTTACTGGCATCGGTCTCTCAAGGGACATACAAATAATGGTCACAAATCTACAGAATTTACATTTTTTGATAATTCATTGTTGATAGAAAAATATTATCTAAAGATTATAATAGTAAGAGCAAACAGTGGCATGAACGGCCTGCCATAGTTAAGTCCATCTTAACCCTAACTGTACTGGGGGGGGGCCTGGGAGGCCCCCCCCCCCTCGACATTTTCGGAGATTGCGCCGCAACCGCTTGGAATTTTGAGTTGTCGTTTCATGACTTTTTTCCCTCAAGTCTTACGCACATTTTGATACCATTTTCGTCGAAATCGGATATACCTGTAAGGCGTTACATAACAATTAGTATGCGCATGTCATCAAAAAAAAAAAAAAAAAATGAAAATCGCATCAAAATTTACATAAATTATCATTATTAATTACATTAAAATAACTTTTTTGTGTTAGAAAAGAAGTTTCATATGAATAATGAGTTTCAACATTCAAAAAGTGGAGTTTGACACGTTTTCGGTAAAATGCATAAAATTAGCGCATTTTGCATAATTAATTAGGCTAACGAGAAAAATTTGCATATTCGGAGAAAACTAATTATACCATCTTGTTCCTTACGTAAATATCTACAAACATGCAAATTTTCGTGTTCATCGGACAATCGACGGCCGAGATCATAGGGGGGGGGCCTCCCAGGCCCCCCCCCCCCCCCCCCCCCCCCCCAGTCAGTGGGTGCTCAAAATAGCCCAGTACAGTAAGGGTTAAAGTCAATCTTAGTCTTTGTGAAACACTCCCCTGGTCAACTTTCAAAGTGAAGTGGAAGATGCATTTTTGGAGGCTGTTTTAAGATTTGGTTCCTAGTATAGTAAGGAGTAAGACGTGCAAGAGCATCACTATTTAAAAAGCATTTCATATTTTTAAACAAATTGGCTGAAGATTGAATGAATTAGGAAAAAATTCATCATTATAGTTTAGCATCATCATATTTTAGCATCCATTTTAATGTTTTTTCCACGCTGTGGGGTCGGACGCTTCATTTCCCTTACAGCCCGTATTCAAGCATCCCGGTCTTCAGCATATGTCTGGTTATACATAAACATGTAGTTCCATAAAATTCCTTTTGTATATTATTTATCTAAACCTATACAATACAATTCTGGTGAACGGAATTAACTACTTGTGTGCGCCTCCAGTATACTTATAACTGATTAAAAAGGTGGGTTTTGAGAAGGGTTTTGAAAGATCAATGGATGTACACGTGTAAAGCTAAGGAATTTATACAAATGTGTCTACTATTAAAATGAATATGAATGTTCCCAATCATCCGGATGGTTGATGAACAAAAAACGTTTGAACGACTCAACTGGAGGGTGTTTCACAAAGCCTTTTTTCATTGACAAATGACAAAAATCAGTGACAAATCTGCTGATAACCAATCAGAAGCAATGATTTCAGTAGCTTATAACAAAAACTGTCATTTGTCACTGAAGACAAGTTTTGCGAAACGCCCCCTGGACTTACTTTTTTATACCTTGCAATAATGTTTCTAAATTATTTGGCGAGTCAAATGTATTTTTCTACTGTAAATATGTGTTTCTTATTGCTTTACCAATACCATACATGATTAATGGGATCTTGTTTTTGTTTACACAATTCAAATCATGGAAACATTTTGAAAAGGTACATTTCAAAACACTTTTTTTATTTATTTGTATAAATATGGTTATTTAACAATTAGTACCAAATCATGTCATGTTTAAATCCACATGTAAAGTTGAAGACATGTAAAGGAACTCCTAGGGATTCGGTGTGTGCCATACATTACCAAGTTTGTGAAAGTTCTGGAAATAAATTTACCTAGAATATGTTATTTCACTTTATTATCTGTGAGGATGAAATAGCTTGGACCTGAAGCATTAGTAGGAGAGTAATGCACAATTTGGCAAATACTACTTTGTTGGGCAAGCAAAGGAGAAAAAAATATACTGTTTGTCACCTTGTGACTGAATGCAAATTAATTGGCCAAAATCTGTGTATAGTTGGCTCTAATATGGCTTTTTTGTTGTTGGCACATTGCACTTATGATCTTTCACTGGTGCTTCGACTAGATCAGAGTACTTAAACGTGTGTTATTTGATTCAATTACATTTGAGTTATGAACTTTCACTATGTATGCCATTCACTTACAAGTGCCTTAATGAGGAATTCTTAGAGGCAGTCAACTCCTTATAAAAAAAGCAGAAAATAACAGAATAGAATGGAGAAAGTTTGAAATAAATAGGATCAGTAAGAAGAAAGTTATGAAGGTTTAAAATAAGAAATCACTACATCTATGAGTATCTCAAATCGGCAATTAAGTCAGTATACTATGACGTTCATGGACAACTCCCCTGTTCTGTAATTTTGATTTATTTTTTGTATTTTTTTGTATTGGAACAACGATTGTGCCAGAGTGTGGCTTTTGTACACCAAATTTAGTTATGTTCCTATTACATGTAAATTGAGTTTTCAGACATAAACAGTACACTAAAGACAATCGTGCAAAATTTGTAGACAATTTTGCAATGTAGGAATTTAACGTACTGTATAGTATGTTACTTTATGTTCAAATATTTTGTATTGTTTAATCAATCTGAATCGAATTTGATGTAAATATTATTTCCAGCTTTTATTGGGGCTAAGAGGTTTTAGTATTAGGTTTGTAAATAACTATGTGTGCTGCAAAGAAATTAGGCAGAATTTAGTGTACTGTACATGCAGTTGTACAGAAGAGGAGAAGAAATAGAAAAGAAGAAGCAGAAATTATGTAAAATAGTGATTTGAATACTGGTGGGGCTTTTTAGACTTACCGTTTCAAGGCCTACAAGGAGAAGGAGAGGTGAATGGATAGTCCAATTGAGTGTCTTTTTTCATATGAAGTAAATGTATTGCTAAAATTATGTCCATATGGCAATTTGTTTATGATATAGAATGTTTGTTATAGTTATTTTCTATTGAAACAATTATCTGAGGCGTGGTAGACATACATGTATATTACTGTGTTAAATCAGAAATATACAAGTATATTGTTACCACGTATAGCATATGTATTACATTTTACGAGGAAAAATTGTGCAATCGCAATTCATATGGGAATGAAATATTTGCATTATAAATAATTTATTTCAGATCTCTTTTTTCTTTTCTTATGGATTTATTAGTCACACAAGTAGCGGATCTGTAAGTAACAGGTTTCGGTGAGGAGAGGCTTGAAAAGAGGTTTTTTTTTATTGTCATCACACATGTGCAGCTCTCGATCCGGGGCTTTCTTTAAATCACTGGGTCATCACGTCAGGTCAGGTCGGGTGGTGGCATTACCAGATCTTTTGTGAGAACATGCCCCTTAATTCACGACATGTCGGGGTTAATGTTTGTGAAATAGAACCCTCTGGTCTGGTCCAATTTACCTGACATTTACAGCAAGTTTTAAAGGTCGCATCCTTAACGTGCATCTTAACATGATCTTCTGCTTTTGTTTCACAAAAAGTCGGGTAAATCGACCAGCCGGCCGGACGGGATGACCTAATGATTTGAAGTAACCCCGATCCTGCAAAGTGTGCTGGCACAAATTTAATTTTTTAACACTAGAACATGTATGTGGAAAGACTTGAGCCAACCCAATCTCTGTACTATATCATGCACATTCATTACCGTAGACTCTGTATAAAGCAGCTACAGTAGAGGGCGGGTCAGTTACAATCTCCTTACAGTCAAACAATCAAGGACCTACCTTTGACAAGGCTTGTGCCCGCATAGATCATGTAGGTAATCTGCCTGTAGATGTATTCAACTGTCGTATGTGAAATAAATTCATCATTACACATGTCAAATATACACTGTCAAATTTTGAATGAAGTAGATTATTATTACATTCCTAATTGATTGTACATTTCATTGTACAAGTAAATCTATGTAGTAATGAATTGTGCAATGTCAGTACAATAGTAATTGTGTATTCTACTTTAGATGAAAACCTTCCAATTGTGTTTTTTAATGTTGAAATCTACCTTGAGCACTGCATATCTTGCATGCCCTATACATGTGTGTGTGATTTTAATACCTGTGTGTATCTTATGTTCAGAGTCTGAAGAGCATTTGTGTTCAAGTATACTAGTATACAAATAATACACAGCACTGAGGGCATTAGTAAGAATTACCCACACAAGTCATCTTTGGAACGGTCCAACACACCCAAGACGATAGCCGATGGTGTTTGGACTGGACTTCAAAGGACCGAGTGTGGGTGATTTTTACTAATGCCCGAACAAATGATGTGTATTATTTGTTTTATTACATGCATGACATTTTATTTGTGTTATAAAATGATGTTTTAGAACATGATTTTACTAATGACCGGTCATTAGTATTTGCTAATTAATGACCGGTCATTATCAAAATCATGTGATAGGCAAAATAAATGCCTGGTCACATGTACGCTCCCAACCAATCATTCAATTAGGATCCGCTTCGATCGTCATCTTATAATATGAGATAGTGCCTTCTGGCAGTTACTTATCTTACACTTGTGAGGTTTTGTTATATAGTTGTCACCACCTATGCAATGCTCTATATTCAATTATTGACCAACACCCCTTGGCTGATATCAATTTAGATATATGAACATATACTTACAGTGGAGAATTATTGAACTAGTAGGACCAGCGAAATTTTTGTATCACAACCTTTCTTCTATTGAAGTACAGGCTACCATGTCATTGGTGTATCTTCGTAATATCTTTGTAATATATGAAGGCTGGAAAACAAATAGAATACATAAAAGTGGAACAGTAAAATGACCTAATAGTTATGAGAGTTTGTTCTGCATGTATTGAACAGTGATGTATATGACAAGTTTCAATGTCCAGTAAAACCTGTCGTTAAAGGCCACAAAAAGGAGGGGAAACTGAAGCCACTGTAGACAGGTGGCATTTTGAGAAAGGTTCAACAACACATATTTCTGTAAAGTGAGGCCATACTGGTGACCTCTGTAGCAAAGTGGCCTTTATAGAGTGGTTGCCACTATTAGGCAGCTCTGTTTTATAGGGAAACAGTAGTGGACCAAACAGTATGTTAACAGACTACAATGTGAATATACAGTGTGAATATCGGCAATATTTGTCTTTAAACCGCCACACACCCAATGACTTGATGACAGTAGGTTGTTTGACATTGTATAAGAAAGGCATGATTTTACCTTGTATTGCTAGAATTATTATTTTTGCACAATTAATTTGAGGGGTCAGTGACACACAGACGTAATTCCACTGTGAGAAAAAGTGGTTTATGTGTCACTGAGCACTTGGGGTTAAATCTTTGAGTTTCATGGAAAGCCCACATTTTTCTGAACATTTTGATATCAAATACTCATTTTGGCAAAATATGGAGTTATGTCTTTGTGTAATTGAACCCAAGAATTGTTTCTTTTTAAGCAAAATTTGTTTCAAATTATTCTTTCAAGTTTTCGTCATGTACATATATTTGTGATAAGTGTCTGTAAATTGTATTGTTTTACACTCCTGCTGCATTTTTTTTATTTTATGTGAAATCAAGCATTTATTTGGGAAATATACTGTAGTGTAAGGTATCTAAACTCCTAAGAAAAGTTCTGCAATTAATGTTAGAGCGTTGATATCTCTTGTTACTATAATCGCTCTTGATGCTGGTACGATTGAAAAGCCTGTTTATTCCCCTGTACAAAGATGTCAAATTTGTAAGTTGTAATTATGGAATGTGCAGTACACCTGAATTTGGGGCCAAGTCAAAAGTAAAATGTTGCAAAATGCATTGTTATATTTTCAATCTGATTAAAACTTAAACAATGATTATGTAACAATCAGTTGATTTAAAAAACATTCCATCAACATATTGCACTTTGAGAATGGTCACCTCAACATCATTCAAAACATGTTCTTTCTCCAAAGAATAGCAGAGAATACAAGTGGCATTCATGCATGTCCACTCAAATTCATTAAATACATGTACAATCCATCCTCGAAACAAATGAAATATTCACCGTAGACAATACAAATGCATTTTGCAACATTTCGCATCTGACTTGGCCCCGTATTCAGCTGTACTGCACATTTCATGATTGCATAATAATTACAAATGGGATATCATTGTAAAGGGGAATAATCAGTCTTTTCAGTAATACCAAAGACAAATAAAATATAGTAACAAGAGAGATATAAATGCTAAAAAGGGCAAAATGGTACACATGGCTGAGAGAAAGAAGCACAAGAGAAAATAATGTTGTTGTACGTGTAAATACATCGAGAAGAAGAAGGTATGGAGTAATTCAATGAAATTTAATTACCATAGTGATCAAACTTGATATTTTGGGTAGAAATTTTAATATTAGTTATACATTTATTCAAGAATTATGTAAATTTCATTTGAAACAGTAATTTTTCAGACAACCATGACTGCTATTCTGAGGGAAATTTGCAATTGCTATGTGTACTGTGGATCATGTGTGGTGAAAGGTTATCAAAACGGCAATAACAATGCACATACATTGAAATTGTAAGAAAGATGTAAACCATGGAGCTGTTCTGTGTCCTTCTTTTATAACGACTCCTTTTTATTCTAGTATTTGAAAGAAAGAGAAGTGTGAGAGAAAATTGTGAGAAAGAAAAAAAGAAAAGAAAAAGAGAGGAGAGGTAGACAGAAAGATAATGTATTGGAAGAGAGAGGGACAGAGAGAGAGAGAGAGAGAGAGAGAAAGAGAGACAGCGAGAGGGACACGAGAGAAAAGGATAGGGAGAGAGAGAGAGAGAGACAGCGAGAGGGACACGAGAGAGAAAGAAAGGGAAGATAGAGAGAGACAACAGAGAGGGACTAAAGAAAAAGAGAGAGGAGGGGTAGATAGAAAGATAATGATGTGTATAAAGAGACAGAGAGGGGGAAGACGGAGAGAGAGAGAGAGAGGGAGGAGGAGCGAAAGAGAGTGAGGGAGGGGGAGAAGGAGAGATAAGGGGTAAAGAAATCCAGAAAATTAGAGGATAATCAAATGTTCTATTGACAGCATCAATATTGTCAGGCAAGATAGGTGAATTTAAAAAAGAATGACTCATGAATTTATGGGAGAATGCCCATAATTGTTTCATGATGGAAGACTTGATGAAAATGCAATTAATTTTAAATTTCAAGTTAAAATACACCAGACAGATCACAAACAGGTGAAGAGGGAAAGAGAGAGAGTAAACAAAAGTGCAAGAATTTTAGCTACATGAACAGTACCTACATTTCCAAATGTGCTCTTGTTTAGTATTCAATGATTTTTTTTTTTAAATAATAATAATAAATATATCAAATAAGAAATGTATTAAATTGTGTATAATATCATAATTTGTATGCCTTACCGCATAATTCATATTTACACAGTCCATTTTCAATAAATCAGGAGAAAGAAAAGCATATTCTATCTAATGCATACTTCACAGAAGCTTTTAATTCACACATCAAATTTAAATATTCTTTTTTGTAAATACAATAGACCAGTTCACGGTTAGCACATTACTGCAATGACCCCGAATATCCACAGATCTTCAAAACGTGAAGAGGTCCCACTTTGTATATTTTGAAATAATCACTCCTACAGCGATGGAGGTGCTTCATAACTAGCCTTTGTTTCCTCTTTTCAAAGAATACTTCCACCTGTGTATCATTGAGTGCATAAATGAATAATAATTACATAACTTTCATGAGCATGTATCCAGTATTTCGTCTCCATGTATTTCACAATTCGTTCTGCAATGACCTTTATCTGTTCATGCTCAGACTGCAACCGTGAACTGGCTTATTCATCATGAACACTTATGACCTGGATGAGCAATAGATGTATTGATGCATCAAAGAAACAAAACACATTTTGTTTAACAAAAAGATGACCTTGCCCCTATAGGACGTGTCTCACTGTACGGGTCAGGCCTGGCAGGCATGCAGTGGTGTCTCAAAAGGCCATTTTTCATAATGTAATCAAATTTAATGCACAAACCTTTATCAAGTGCCTCGTTTCAAATTATTTAATTCATTCATTATGAATAATTGTATTTCAATAGTCAAAATGTGAATTGCATATATATATTATGTGCTTTTAGGTAGGACAGGACATAATGTTTGTCCTACCTAAAAACTACTAATGTATGCAATTCACATTCAGATAATTGAAATTACACTAATATACAAATATACAATGACACTCGGGGATCTAGCTGAAACTATTCGCATCGAAGGAACATCACCCGAGGGAGAATAGTTCTATTGATGTTCCTGAGTGCAAATAATTTTAGCTTGTTTCGAGAATGAGTCATTGTATATTTGTTTTATATCCCTGGAAATGCGTAACCATGTTTTTTAACATTAAGCCCACTCGCACATGACACCGACAACTATGGCAAAATAAAATGACAGAAGTGTAGCATGCTTTACGTTTCTGTATATTATGAAACAAAGATAGATGAAGAACACTTGGAGGCCTTTGTTGCATGCAACTATTAAACTTCATTAAAAAAAAATGCCATCCCTTTTCCCCCCAAATAGCTTAATTCTGCTAAAACACAATTCTTTAACAATGTTTCAGCATATTTTTTACATTCCATAGGATGTACGTTATGAAATTCATGTTCTCAAATATCTCCTAAAACAATTGATTTGAAAAATTGCAAACAAGATCATCACTTTAAGGCTCTTTTCTTTGTTTTCCTTCTCACTGAGCAAAGTTATGTGCACGTTTTGTTGAAGCTTATACAAAGGCTATCATCTTTGGAACACCTTGTTTCATGGATAACTTAGCAAGTGAACAACAGAACTTTTAAACATGGAAGTGTCTGACTATGTGCCTTTCCAAATATTAACTCCCAAACTCCACCTGTATATTACTGTGGTGGAAAGAGAGAACAAAGTACTGTTTGTATGTATGATAAGTTGATTTGTATAAGTTTCATGAGCAGCACCTATCATCAAGTATTGGGGTGGGTCAGTGGGAAATTAAACACTTGGCACAAATAACTTAATCAATCTGTTCATGTCCAGATAGCAAGTACAAACTAGCATTTTAATTTATTGGTCATCTTCTTCTTCCGTCTTCCTCCCCCGAATGTGTTTCTTTCCTTTCCCTGCTTTTCTTTGGAAAATGGGCATCTCAGTTTTGCTTCTGCCATCGCCATCAGACTTCTGCGATCCCTTTCCTTCTTCAGAGTCATTCTCAATAGTCTTTTCAGATGATTCTGATTGGATGGGGTGGATTCTACTGTCGCTTGATTGGTTGGTTTGTCTAATGGAGCTTTCTGATTGGCTGGCTTCTTCCTCTTCACCCAAATGACCTAGGCTGATTGAGTCTGATGCCACTGTACTGCGCCCGCTACCTGATGCTTCAGACAAATTAGGCTTTCTTACTTTAGGTTTCGATTGTCCGAACTGGAACTCTGCCATTTTATGAACATCGCCATAGCTCTGTCTCTTACCATCTTGATCGCTCTCATCAGTAGTAGACTTCAGGACAGGCTTTTTGTACTCCACTTTACCGCAATGTAGCTTGGCATCCCATTCCTCTGGGTGCTGTTCATCGGCTTTTCTTTTACGGAGATCCCTGAGGAAGTCTACAGCGGCTCTCTTGTTGGAGGACTCTCCGGAGATGTCGGTGTCTTCCAGGCTGTACTCGGTCCATCGTTCAGGATGCACCTCGTGGTCCGGTGTTTTATTTTGCCTCCCTCGGCCTCCTCGGTAGGACAACCTGCCACCCCTCCCCCTCCAACATGGACGATCCCATCCTCCCCTGCTTCCATGCTCACTACGGCCTCTACCACTATCGGGACGGGGAGGGGCAGGTTTCTTGAAGTCCCTCTCTGGGCTTTCTCTTCTGTCCTCGTCTATGAATTCATCCGGTCCTCTCTCCTTCACAGCTTCATCGTAGTTCTTCTCTAGACCACCAAGAGAACCGAAGACATCGCTGGATCTGTTCTCAAACCCTCTCAGGGATCTACCCTGTCCTGTGTTCAGGTTGAACGACGACATTGTGATGTCTTTATCTCATCAGAAGATATCTGTTGAACAGAGAGAGAGAGAGAGAGAGATAGAGAGAATAAATTTAAAATGTATGCATAAATTCAAGCCGAAGATATTTCTGTTCCTGTTCACTACTTATCTGCAGCTATCCACAGTTACTTGGCATATTTAAAATATATGAAGGCATGTGAAGAGCCATGTTTAATTTCAAGGAACATTTTTTGTTCTCTGATGTTCTTCCACACTTTCATAATAACAATGATAACGCTCACAAATTATTTTTCACCTCTTCCCAGAACTCAGCCTTTTCTTAATGCTATTTGTAACATTCTTGACCCCTACTCTAATACAATGTACAAGTGGTGGAATTCTGTAGAACTTCCATGTGTAGTAAACCAAATGATATTACATCATATGTATCACATTGATAACCCTAGAAAAAAGGTTGGATCAGACAAAAATAAGTTAAAAAAGGGACACGTGCCATGTTCAGTTTGTGTAATTTTCGCTACTCTTTAAAAAGAATAAGGGACAGTAAATACGGTAGTATTACATGCCATCTAAATATTTTTGAGGGAAAAAAGCCTCATGCAAAGTGGCCAAATGAAAGTTACTAATAAATCAAATGCTAAGAGATTAATTACAATGTATTTCTAAATTTTAGTTTTAAAATGGAAGTACACGTAGACCCTATGTTGAGGGTCACATGTGTCTCATGTAAGCATACAGACCAAAAAGATGGATAAGCGTTAAAGAAAACACAGTGCGTTCTCGAATCCAAAATCATACCTCACACACACACTCTCACCATACCGCAAATGGTCCGTCGTGGGGAGCTAGCCGGCTGAGAGTTTGCAGCGATACCAACGCAGCTTCGGAGCTCCGCAGCGCGCCATTTTAGCGGGACTCGGAAAGGTTCGCGGTGGGAAGGCAGCGGCCTAGCTTTTTGCCCAAACAACGCTAGATCGGCTGCTGGCAAAATGAAAATAACTACGATCGAGAACATCGTCGGTTTCTTAACTTTTCAGTGAGATAATTCTGAATGCTAATTGAGACTATATAATAAATTAAATCGACAAAGAAACCTCGGTAGAACTCTTATAACTATACAAAAGCTTGTTTATTTCTTCATTTGACATTTTGTTTTTGACCATTTTTTCGTGCGCGAGTCAATGCAAACTATGTATTACCAAACTTTCAACACGCAAGGAACGGGGAACACTCGCGGACCTCGTATCAAATTCGTTGCAAAAAAAAAATCAAGGGTGATTTTGAAGCAGTGAAGAATATTGGCGCTGCAATGCGCAGAAATATACTTGAAAGAAACTTAAAAAATCATACCTGAATTTTCAGAAAATCGTATTTGTATTAGTGTACCTAGATGTGAATTGTTTATAAATCAGATTTTATGAAGATTTGTCGGGAAAAAATGTCAATTTTTTCCGTTTGGTGGTCATTTCTAGGCTAATATTTTAAAAGTTACTTCAGTTACGGTCCCGATGTTTCTCTTATCATACTCGCATGTTATTCCTACATAGATTAAACATAGGATGGTTAAGGGTAAGACCGGATAACATTATAAAAAAGATATATCCTTCCACCCTCCCATATCCAAGTTTTGGGCTGATTATTGCCGACCCACCGCAGCAAGGCCATTCAGATTTTCGTACGCGACCGAAGCGCCCTCTAGTGCCCCATGAATGTGCCTATCCATGCTGGGCTGAGCAAAATCCGATCTAAAGTAGAAATTATGGCCCATTAGACTAATATCACAACAAAGGCACTAAGAAGGTCTAGAAGTACTCTCCAGTATTACGTCATAATGTAAAATGCCTCATAGCTCAGTGATTGGACGAAAGTTTGAGGAGGAAATTCACTACAAACAGAGTATTACAAAAATACGCATGCGTGGGACTACATGAACACAGTCGCACGCACGTACTTACACATGCACAGCGCATTTCTCACTACAAACTGCAACTTTGAATGTCGTTCATGCATGGCCTATCATCAACACTGCATTGGCCAGTTACGTACACAACAATCATTCATATCGTTAAATCATTAATTCTTTCCTAGTCAGTTTTACTCACGGCTTTACACTCAGGCTTGGCTGTATCTGGTTATCATTATTACGCAATAAACTACGTTCACTTTTCGTGTGCCTTGAAGTTATTTGCATAATTGATTGACCAAATGGTCGTAGACTTGAATCTCCAGTCACTTTTCTGATTAAAATAGACTAACCATTTTCCGGTTAAATTATGTTCTCGGATGTTTTCATTGCGGATGTTTGTTTAAAAAAGGAAAAGGGCATGGGTTCTAGAACAGTTTTACGTGACATCCTTAGTTAGATGTATACATATAAATCAATGTACTCAAAATGAACTCCCATAATGCCGAGGAACGAAGAAGTCGAAAAGGTTTGAAAATAAATTAGACCAAACAATAAATAACTCAGTTTCCCACTCCAAAAATGGGTATAGTTTTGTTTAAAACTATATACACAAAGTGAGTCAAGAGGGATTGACATCAGTGGCGTAATTAGTAATAACATGAAATGAATAATTCAAGAAATAAAATGAATGAATAAATAAATAATCAACTCAAAGGAGTGCCATAATAGGGCTACTATCCACCCTTTGCCATGGAGGGGTAGACCCTACTCCCTCCATCGAAAACAATGAGGAGTCTTTGCATTCAATGAAGAAAGAAATCAAATATTATATTTGATTTCATTTAGAGCATTTAGTTTTTGTTACCCCAATTTATCCCTTCATAAAATTATTGCGGCTCTCCAATATCGAGGCAAGAGCCCATGTAACATTTTTTTCCCCTGGAAGAGCGGGCACCCCACCCCCCCCCCCCCCCCCACCCCAGTCATGGGCCCAGTGGCGGATTAAGAGGGTGGGGTGGCCCGGGCCCTTCCCCTGGCCAAAAAACAGATACATTTTTTGTTCAATAAAAAAGAAGAAGACTGCCCCTCCCCCTGGCGTGAGGGGGTAGGGCGGGTAGGATGTTGACTTATAAAATAGAACTCCTTACCCCCCCCCCCCCCCCCGCTTATTAGCCAGCTGGTTGATTCGGCACTAAACATTTTATAACGAATTGGGCCCCCTATTTGGCCCCCTCCCTTGGCGCTGGCTGGATCCGCCCCTGCCTCCCCCTTACATATCACCTACCCTCCGAATTCCATAGAAAAGATTTTGCCTCTCTGATTCTATATTGATTTTGGAACACATAATTAAAACTCTGCTCATGTACTTTTTATTGTTTAGTTAACATATCTTCTTTCATGAATAGTTAGAGCTACATTCAGATTGTGCTAAATCTGATATAGACTTAAATCTTCAAGGCTTCAACTACTCTTTCTTTATTTTGTTTACTTATTTCGGAATACCGCGGGATCCCCCCGCCCCCTTGAATTACAAAATGTCGAAGTGCTGCGCTGTGGAAAAATATTAGACCTATTGAATAAGCCTGTGGTTAAAGGAATGGGTTTGCTGATGTATACTCGGAAAATTCAACCATGTAGATATTAATAAAATATATACCCCTATAGACATAAGTATTTTTTTCTAAGCCAACTTTATGGAACTTTCCCCTTTTTAATATTTAAACATGTACCAATTTGAAACAATTTGAATCATGTGCACTGTATAAAATCAATTTTAAGGCTACATGGTGTGACGGTATACATCACAAAAGAAAGTGGCAAGGGTTGAACAAAAAGAACATACAAGGATATAAGGTCCCCTTTATATTTGTTCTTCTTTCTTCACTCCTTTTCTTTTTTCATTTTCTTCCCCATATACCTTATTTGTTTCATTTGTGGGGATGGAACCTTTTTTTTGTTGATAGGAGGAGCAGCCCTAAGGCCCCCTTACCAATAGATTGCATGACAAACTATGGCCAGGATCGATCGACCGAGGTCGAGGTTCCAGTTTTGTTCATTACATAGCAATTTTCGTATTAATATCAACATAACCTTTCCAGTAATTTATCTTTTTTTTTGCAAACCTAAATATAACTTTCCTTGGTTTTGATTTTGCTTCTAATGAAAGCAGATCAATCAGAGACTAGGGGCTACTGCTTTCAGAATTCGAATTTGAGATTTAGTTATGTTAATATTGATTTATTGATTTATTTATTTTCTTCTATCCATGCCGATCCTCCAAACACAGAGCTATGATAATGTGTCACTCAAAAGAGGGCGACAGACAACTAATATGCATTTGAAGTCAGTCATAAGAATAGGAAATGGGCATTTGTCGACGGAAAAGGGGCTCCGGCCCATCAGATTTTGAAAGGTATACAGAGGTGACAAGGGGCATTTATGAAAAAGGGATAGGGTCCTTTAATATTTGAAACGAAAACAGGCACGTATCATTGTTAAAAGGAAAATGATCAGAGGTGAAAAGAGGCACTTATCGCACCTGGAAAGGGGCAATGACCAGGTATAAAAAGGGGCACTTATGTGAATAAAAAGAGGCACTTATAATAAAGGAAAATGTGCATTAGTTGAAAGAAAATGGGCACCGATCAGATATATTGAAGGGCGTGTATCAGAGGTGAAGGGGGCACTTATCTGAAGTGAAAAGGATTAACTTCTCGTACCTGAATAGGGTAATTTACCAGAGAAGGGGCACTTATGAGAATGGGAAGTGGCTCTTTTTTAATGGGGCACTTATCATTTGGAAAAGGGGAACTTATTAGAAAGGAAAAGGGGTACATGTGAAAATCCGCGCTTATCCGAGATAAAATGGGGGTAGCCATAAAAAGGGAAGGGCCGCTTCTTACAAAGGAAAAGGGGCACTTGTCAAAGTAAAACAGGCACCTCTCAGATTTGAATAGCGCAATTATCAGAGGTGAAAGGGGCACGTATCAAAAGTGGAAGAGGCACTTCTCGTAAATGAAAATAGGCACTTCCTCATAGATTTAAAAAGGCAATTGTAAGAATGGAGAATGGACACTTATTGCAAATGAAAATGGGAACTTGTCGAAGGAAAAGGGGCACTTAACAGAGTTGTAACGTAGAAGGGGCACTATTCCTATGTAAAAATGGACACTTTTGGGTGCTTGAAAAAGTGTTGGGGGGGGGGGGGGGGACTGTGCCACCCTACCCCCCTCGGAGGGCCGCCTCTGCTGACAATCTTGGTAATAACGATGACGACGATGATGATATGGTGATGGCAATACCGTTGATAATGATGATGGTGCGGCCGGTGATATAAACAAAGTATTAGGTGCATTATAAATGTGAGCTATTATTATGATGATGATGATGGCAATGCCGATAATATTGATGATGTTGATGATTCACAGCATGGCGCCATATTTCTTAAATATCAACATCGTCCTCTTCATCATCACCGTCATCATCACCACCATCACCACCACCGCGATTAAATTTACTTTAACAGACTGGCGCACTAGACTAGCTTCAATCACTGCTACGTCAACAACTTTCTCTCCTGATTTCGTGGTTACGTGCATGTTTTAGATTGCCGCGGCAATACTACCGCATTAGACGAGGCCAAGCCAGCGGAGCCGGGGAAGTAACTCAGACCATTCCGTTCACAAGCTAAGTCATCGTGTCAATTCTGCTGCTGGAGCGAGACACCACAATTGGAGCTATGCTGTAAGCTCATTTTTATTTCGTGGACAGCATTCTGCCTTGTTTCTTGCCATTATTCTCTCAAGGAACCACTGCACCTGTGTTACACCATGGCTCAGATCATATCAATCACATCGCTTTTTGCTTTCATATTCATAAACTATCAGTTATGGCGATCAGTGGATTCGCAATTATACGCTCATCTCGGGGACTCATTTTTGGACCAAGAAGTTACGTATGACGAGCTCTACCAAAGCGGTATGCAATCCTACACAAACGAGGATTGGGCGTCTACAATATTCTTTTTTGAGAGAGCTCTACAAGAATTTGACTATTTTCGAGCCAGTCTAACAGAGTGTAGACTAAAATGTCAAAATGTCTCACATATTTCGTCATCAGGCAAAGACACGCTTTCGGAATTAAAAGTATTTGAAGCAGTTTTTAAAAAGGCAGATTGTACTCGGAGGTGCAAGCTCAAGAAGTTAGGAGGCCGAAGTGAAAGAATAGATGATGCAGTTACTGATAAGTTTTTGAGTATGACACCATACAGCTACCTCCAGTTCGCGTATTACAAAGTGAGTATATTAGCTTCTTTGTAATGATGATGATGATGATGATGATGATGATGATGATGATGATGATGATGATGATGCTAATGATGCATGGTGGTGATGATTGTAATGATGGTGGTGATGGTTGTGGTGATGATGATGATGGTGATGATTGTAATGATGGTGGTGGTGATGATGGTGATGGTGATGCTAATGATGCATGATGGTGATGATTGTAATGATGATGGTGATGGTTGTGGTGATGATGATGATGGTGATGATTGTAATGATGATGGTGATGGTTGTGGTGATGATGATGATGGTGATGATTGTAATGATGGTGTTGGTGATGATGCTAATGATGCATGATGGTGATGATTGTGATGATGGTGGTGATGGTTGTGGTGATGATGATGATGGTGATTGATTGTAATGATGGTGGTGGTGATGATGGTGATGATTATGATGATGATGGTGATGGTGGTGATGATGGTGAGGAACTGAAGATAGTAAGGGATGATGATTGAAAAGTAATTCCGAATGTTATGATGGCGTTGATGGAGATGATCATGATGCTAATGGTAATGTTGGCAATAGGCTTGATGGTGGTGGACTGGTGGTGGACTGGTGGTGGACTGATGGGGATGATGATGGTAATGATGGTGGTGGTGAGGAGGTGGAGGAGGATAATGATGAATGATGATGAACTTGAGGATGATATGGTGATGGTGGATTTTTTGTGAACTGGTGAATGATATAATGGGATGGCGATGCCCTTTATTGGTAATGATGATGCCATTTATTGGTAATGATGAAGGTGATGATGGTGATGATGACAATGACTATGTTGATTATGAATGATTATATATCTCAGAAATTTTAACTGAAGATACACATGGATGGATGATGAAGAATAATATATTAATAATGTTGATGGTGATTGATAATGGAAATTAAGGTTGTGATGATGGTGATGGATTGATTTTGATAATGGTGATGATCATGATGGGGATGATGTTGATAATGGTGATTATGGCCGTAATGAATGGTGGTGTAGGTTATGATCATGGTGTTGATACTGATAATGGTGGGGATTGTAAGCATGGGGATGATCATTTTATGTAATCATTGATGCAGATGGATTGGCAATCTTGTAGTTGTGGTGATGATAATGAACTGATGATGCTATTGAATATGATGGTGATAATGATGGTGATGGTGCTGATGAGGTGATTGTGGTGGTGATCATGAGATTAGGATGTTGATGGTAATTGTGATATTTATGTTAATGGGGGAGATGATGACCAATGATGATGATTATGATTCTGCTGATGGGGATGATGATGACAAGGAGGAGAATGATGATGATGGTGTTGTTTCATCATCTATCATGATGGATTATCCGTGATGATGATTACTATAAAGATGATGATCCAGTCATGAAATTGATCTTCCCCAAAGTTCCCCCGAATATTGTTTTCAAAATCATCACATTTGTTATCATATTGGCAAACTACATGACACATATTTCATTCAATTATCTCTAAGATTGAACACTCAACAAATAAAAGAAATGTCAGAATTCATAAGTTTCTTTCTGTAGAATGGTTGCTTACTAACAAGCATTTATGCTTTCTTAGAAGTCAGGTATAATAACCACCACTACTACTACTGTACCTCAAGAATTGGTTTCAGCTCCATTTCAGAATTTTGAGGCGGATGTACAAGTGACAGGATTTTAGATCTTGTTTAGCCCCCACGAGTGTTGCAACAGACTTGCAGTGGAAAAGGGCGAAAAGCCAGACAGGTTGCGAAACAAAAGTGTGTCTACTCCCAAAACACACCCAATGACCTTTCAGGTCAAAGGTCACAGGAGGATCCATTTGCAGGTGTCAAGTCTGTTGTCCATATGTTCATTGAGAAAAGAAATTGAGAGATTTGGGGAAATTGCTGGAGTCACTCTGGCAGTGTCATAAATAAATTCAGAGTATGCTATGAAATAACCATGATGAATGTACATTGTGCAAAATTTGTAATCACTTAATAATTATGTTCAATTTGTAAAAAAAAAAGTTGACATGTGAAAATAATCAGTAAACTTAAGATAGATTTTGCAATGGATCAAGATGAAATGATAAAATCCTTGTATTGTTTTTATTTTATTTTAAAATGGTAATTATGTAATCATCTGATCTGCATGCTGAGAAGTCCTGAGAATAAGAAATGTTTCACACATGTAACTTGATAGAAAAACTATAATATCCCTATCAGTAAAATAATAAAAGAATAAATAAACACCCTCCTAAAGATCTGGCTCTCAAATGAAGGTTTCCCAACAACAGATATTTTACATTAATTAATCAATGAATGATGGTAAGCTAATGCCTATACATACACACCTTTCTGTAATCCTCATATCATAGAATGAAAAAAATGAAACCAGGAGAGGAACTAACTTTAGCATCCTAGCAGGAGAAATAATACATTCACTATAGTCCAATAGTCCAGTTGTCCAATGCAGAAGTATTCATGAACATATTTCTAACATGGGGCTTTGAAAGTGTCACTGATGATAGACAGGGGTCATAGTTGTCATTTGACCTATGATCTTGAACCTTGAACCTTGAACCTACCAAGGTGAATGGGATATGGGGATGGAGAGTAGAGCAGTATTATATCTTCAGGGACTTGGCCCTGATATATTTCAGGATATGATCACATGACCCTGTATATGGTCATCACTATTCGTTTCAAGCCAGTGACTGTTCTTTCAGTGGGAAATGTATACAGTATACACAAGAGCCAGAGTTTTGGAAAGTTTTAAAGCTTGTACTGTGTACAACTAAAATTAGTTTTTGAGGTGGTGGTGGTGGTGGTGGGAGGTGTTGGTGGTGGTGGGGTAGTGGTGGGGTAGTGGTGGTGGGGGAGGAGGTGGAGGAGGTGGTGGAGGAGGAGGAGGAGGAGGAGGAGGAGGAGGAGGTGTGGGAGGTGGGAGGTGGGAGATGGGAGGTGGGAGGTGGGAGGAGGGAGGAGGGAGGAGGGGAGAGGGGAGGGGAGGAGGAGGAGGAGGAGGGGGGAGGGGAGGGGGAGGGAGAGGAGGAGGAGGAGGGGAAGGGGAGGGAGAGGAGGGGGAGGAGGGAGGGGAGGGGGAGGTGGGAGGTGGGAGGAGGGAGGAGGGGGAGGAGGAGAAGGGAGGAGGGAGGAGGGAGGAGGAGTAGGAGGGGAGGGGGAGGGGGAGGGAGAGGAGGAGGAGGGGGATGTGGGAGGTGGGAGGTGGGAGGAGGAGGAGGGGGAGGAGGAGGAGGAGAGAGGAGGGAGGAGGAGGAGAAGGAGGAGGGGGAGGGGAGGGGAGGGGAGGGGAGGGGGAAGGGAGGGGAGGGGGAGGGGGGAGGGGGGAAGGAGGAGATTAATCATTAGGATATATCTCATGTTTTATGTTTTAGCAGGAAATGTCAAAAGACATGACATGAAGGAAATATAATTGTGTCTATGTTTTCTGAAATTGCACATTAATTAGTTGATATATATGGGCTATTGGAAAATGAAGGAAAACAAATTAAAGAAAGGAGAGATAATTTATTTGTATAGGACATCATAGGAATGTATCAATGTAATGAAGGAATTTGAAATTTTCTTGACACCATTAGTAAACAGTCACAAACAAAGAAGTTGCTGTTACAAATATGAAGTTGCTTGCAGGCAGTGGTAGGGACTCACTGGTAGAAATAATAGGACATTGCATTCAACTGCAGTTCATTTTCTTCCTTGTGCATCCCTTAGTAGGTATTTAAATCATTTTGAATTCTAACGTAAATTGCATTCTGTTTTAGAAAGTTGTGTTTAATTCCATGATGGTGATTGAGAGGAGAGAAAGACATAATTTTCAGAGCAAACTGTTTAAAAGTTTTTTTTTAGTTTTCAAAGCACCGTTTTGCAGCCATGTAAAAATAATGAATCTGTTCTTGTTTAGCACATAACACATGATATAACCTCCCTAAGGGCTACCTTTAGCTCTGGCAGCCATTTAATATCACCTGGGTGGAGTGCGGCAAATGTAGATAAACGTCTTGCCAAAAGACGTTTATAAGTGTTGTGACAGGGAATCAAACCAGTTCCTTGTGTTTCATTGTCTTATCCACTGGACCATGACGTCTCTACGTTTAGAAGTAGAAGTAGAAGTTTATAATAGTGAACTTTTCACTAGATGTATTTTTAACACTTTAAAAACACTTTTTCTTTTCCCCCCCAGAGTGGTCTATATGAGCAGGCTGTTGCAGCAGCATATACTTACCTTCAATGGCATAATGATGACGATGTTATGCAGAACAATCTGGATTATTATAGGAACATGCATGGAATAGATGACAGCCAACTTTTCAACTTAGAAGAAAAATGGCATCATGTAAGTATCATGAGCCTTTCCTTATCAAGTTCATATCTTAATTACAGAATGGATTGGTTTAATTACATTCAAATTATGAATGTTTCTTTCATGAGCCTTTCCTTATCAAGTTCATATCTTAGTTAGAGAGTGGATTGGTTTAATTACATTCAAATTATGAATGTTTCTTTCATGAGCCTTTCCTTATCAAGTTCATACTTATTTAGAGAAAAGACCAATTTACTAACTTTTATAAATTAATGTTTTTTCTTTCCAGGGGATCCAGTGAAACAACTATTCCATTAACTTGTTATTAATGAATGAAGTACAATACTTTTTGTTTAAAATGTATGCATAAAATTCCAATGTGTCTATTCACAATGTGAATTTGAAGTTACTATGATGACTTTGGCAGTATGCAATGTGCTTTGAAAGCATATTACTTTTCATCTGGTTTTCAAAATTTAAGAAATATGTGTATAAATAGAGGAATAGACAAAGAATAATTTTCATGAGTTTAAAGTGTGCTTTTAGTGGCTGAACAGGACAAAATATGGCTTGTTTGATATCTAAAGCATACATGTGAGTGTGAATACGATCTATGAGCTTTTTAAAATTCCATTTATAAATGTAGAAATAGAGCGTACCTCTTGAATGAAATACCCTCTTATTCAAAATTTATTACATTATTCACATAATCAGCACTAAATATAATTTTATGAAATGAAGTGGCACAACACAGGTCAGCTTCTTATAGCATTATTAACTTGTCATATCGTCCTTGTTTTCACGAAGTGACGGTAGTGAGGAAAATCGTAACGCAAAGTGAATGCAATTTTTTTCACTACCGTCACTTCGTGAAAACGGACGACTGTGCAATGTTCACCTAGATGAACGATAATAATAATAATTATTTTTTGGTTTTTGTTTACTTGACAGAAATACTTTTTAGAGGGTTATGAAGCCCATCACAACGAGAAGTGGCATGATGTAATAAAAAGCATGGAGCTAGCCCTTACTGAATACTGGAAAGCGGATACCCAATGTAGAGCGCTTTGTGAAGGAAAATATGATAATCGGGAATTCATGGATCTTTATGAAGCAATTGCATGTAAGTACAAATATTTCTGTCATTGTTCACAAACCTAGAGGCCTACTGTGTTTCATTGCATTATATTTGATTAGACCTACTGTGAGTAAATAATAATTCATATCTACATTACATACTTTTTAATTGTTCCAACATTTTTATTTTTTATCTCAGTCTCTCCTGTCTATCATCTCTCTCTCTCTCTCTCTCTCTCTTTCTATCTCTCTATATATATATCTCTCTCTCTATCTCTATCTCTATCTCTCTCTTTCTCTTTATCACCATGAGCAGGTCTCACTTCCCTTTTAAATTGGTGTGAAATATTCTTATGTTTGAAATCAATCAAACTAATAATTGAGAAATACTTGCACTGAAAATAGATGTACAGTATTTACATTAATTAGTTATGGGGGTCGTCTGCTTATGCAGGATTAGTCCTTAAAGTGACATTATCAAAAATTGCTTAATTTTCTTGCGCAGTGCTCGTATATCTGAGATCTTGATCTGCTGTAGACCTGTGCTTTAATTGTGCTCATTTTTGATTTTCTGATACGAAGTTGACCTAAAACGTATACAATTGTCATAAATAAGCTTCCTGGTTTCTAGGGAAAGTGGGATACATTATTGGCCATATATTTTTGATCTTCTACGAATATCTACTTAAGGCCTAATAAGTTTGTTTCTCCAACGAACAAACAAAAACTGAAGCCGGCAAGAATGTAAAACTAGAAATCATTTTTCTGGCTTTAAAGTCCATATTAAGTCAGCCTCATTTTGGTCCATCTGTTCTTTTCTTAATATGTTCCTTGACCGTCCTTCATGAACCAGGTTGATCCCTACTCAATTCAATTTGCTCTCTGCAACTGTCATATATACCCATATAAGCACACATGTATTTTACTCCAGTCCCACCTATTAATGCACCTGTATGTAAACTTGATCACACGCAGGGTACTCCCAGCTGGGTCCCCTTTAGGCCTCGGTTCATACAACCAAACTTCATTATATAGCTATAAAGTAAAAAAGTAAAGAAAATTAGCCAAGCCTTTACTATTTAGGTATATTTTTTCTGGTCTTCAGTCTCTGCACATCACATTTAATGAAACGATGCGTCATGAAATGTGTGTTCAAGCATCATTTAAAATTAAAACTTGAAATAAAGAATAATGTGAACATATAGATCACAGTTAATCATAACAGGCCTAATACTTTGTTTCTAGGCGCAGTATATATTATTTCCCCTGTCATCAGATTCAGGCATACCCACACACAATGTATGCACATTATCCACTCCCTGGGGAGCATTATGCTTAGTATCATCCCCAAAATATAGGCCTACATTGTATAATACTGGACAGGGCATATGTTTGGGGGCACACTGATATTTGCCCCCCCCCCCCCCCCCCCCCCCCCCCCCGTTCTGCTATACAATGATTCTTTTTATAGACAGCGATTCTGTTCTTGACGTTTCTTTATACAAGTTAGTTTTGTATAAAATTTCTCTGGTCTGAATGAGCCCTAGTGCTATGGCCATGGCATGGGGGTCAGCCTGTGGTCAAACTCCATGGTATGGTGTGGAGATGTAATAGCCATATCCTTTCAAATATGTGGTGTATGTTGCATATTAACTTCCCAAGGACAAGTGCATTTCAAAGCGCTGGACCAATTAGAATCTGTATTGGATGTATGTGTAGGCGTACTACAACTTGTAACAAGTTTAACGTTGCTTCACTGAATTTCTTTTTAAAGACCCTTGAACTTTATGTTTCATAGTAAGTTATTATGGATGAACAGTGTACATATAGTAGTCCTATGTGATTCGTCATCTACTGTTTTTGGTCCAGAAATCCAATTTACCTACAAATAAAATTAACTGGTCATGTACTGTAGATGTATGATTTTGTCTATGATACTACCGGTAGATCCATTTTCATCAGTCAGTTTATTTTGGTAATGAATTTTTTTGGGGGCAAATATAATTGTTTATTTCATGGAAGAGTAAAATGTGATTTGAAGATGATGTCCTTATTCTTACACAAACAATTGGCATTATTGAGATTTGCAATTATATGAACTACTGGTATTTTTATGTTTTGTTCTATTTTTTTATATTTAAAACAAAAAGATCTTTATATCCCTCAGCAAATGCTTTGGTGTGCTTTCTCTGAAAACCTTCACCTTGTATCTTATTTTGAGTGTTACTGGAGGTTAAAGACCAGAGTTGTTATCATTCAATCTGCTGTCACATTTAAAAGAAACTAAAATAGAACTTGTCAGCTAAAGAGGTCATTTCCAGGAAGCTAGCTAGTTTTTCTTATCTGGACTTGAGTTCAAGGGTTGTACAAGTTGATTACTGAATTGAGTCACTACCAACAATGGGGACATGCAGGATTGCAAGTTCGTGTTTGTCAGAAGATAATTTGCTATAAAATATAATAAAGAAACATGTGTGGGAACCCACCCTGTTTTTATTGCAATTCGTAGTAGATTTACACGAGACTCTGTCATATGTGTTAGAACCAATCTCTCAAAAAGATTGGTAAATAAAGAGTTAAAATACCATAAAGTAAGCACAACAGATAATGACTTTTGAAGTTTTGAACCTCTTCATTTGTAAACATTTAGAAACATTTTAAGAAAAAAGGGAGAGTAGAGTAAGGTTTATCCTGATGTGAACATGCCCATAATTTGCCCATATTGATTCATAAAGTAAGCTGATTAGTCTGTATTGATTTAATTACTTCCACATTGCGCTTGTCTAGTCCTGATCGGCTATGGAGAGAGAGAGAGAGAGAGAGAGAGAGAGAGAGAGAGAGAGAGAGAGAGAGAAAAGAGAGAGACATACATGTAGAGAGAGAGAAAGAGAGAGAGAGAGAGAGAGAGAGAGAGACATGTAGAGAGAGAGAGAAAGAGAGAGATAAGTGCAGACAGACATACAGACAGACAGAGAGAAACAATATATGTTTAACATTGATATGTCTGTCAATAAAGTGAAATCAAGGCTAATTCTTGTTTAATATTTTCAGTAGAAAAATACACACGAAAGGGGAGTGATTGTCGGGGGGGGGGGGGCGAAACATAATAATTACTGTGTTTAATGTCAATTTCTTTTGTAGACAAATGATAATAAATCCAAGAAGAGTAGACAAAGAGCGGCACAAAATATGGGAAAAGAAAGATATGGAAATGTTCAGAGGGAAAGAGTAAAAAAGAAAGAACCAGATACCGAAAAGAAAAAGGGGGCTTCCAAAATAGAAGGAACCCCCAATCTAAGGTCTAAAAAGGGAGTGAAGTTTTCAGACTGTGCACCAAATGTTTCTAACGAGAGGGCTTTTTTCTGGCAATTTTCAGAGACCTATCAATTAGTATCAAGGGCACATTGACATTGACAAGTTGGGTTGATTTAATTGACAATGGAATTTCTTCCAAACCGTCCTAATTACTATAAACCACAATGCTAGAGTAGCAAACAATGCAAACTTATTAATGTCAGCCACATTTTTATTTTATGAACTGCTATGCCTGACCAGAGGGCATGGTGGGAGGGGGAGGGGGTGGGGGTGTAACTGATATATCCATTCTGTAATGCCTGTGACCCTAATTACCAACCACAATTACAGGAATTGTTTAATATCAAGCTAAGCTGATTAGAAATGTGATAAGCCATTTTTGTTTGGAGTAGTGGTGATTGATGGGTAATGTGACTTAGTAATGTCATTGTGCTGCATTGGTAAATGATTTTATATTTCTGCTAATTGGTTTAAAATACCTGTCACCAAGAAAAAGGAAAATACAGATTAATGATGTGTGCATGATTGTGAACTGGTTATTTGTCATCTTTTCACTTATCAAGCAATATTCTAGGGTTTGACATAGTTTGGTCTTTCTCTCTTTTTGTAAAGACATAAAGCTCTACATTTTCTATTTTAAATGTAAACAGAAATTGTGCCATGACAATCCTAGTTTAATAATTGTTGCTCTTTTTGTTGCAATTCATTTCTAGAATTATGGTTATTTTTTAATTCAAGGAATTTCTTTTCATGGAAACAGCAACTCCATCCCCTACCCCTTTCCATCCTTCATCTCATCAATTCTAAACCCCATTCCATATACTTGTTCCCATTCCGTCCTCTCTGAATCCCTGTATCCCCTACCAGTGACCAAAATCAACTCTTCACACCTCCAATTCTTCTATCATTCTTCCATCAGACTCCATTCATTCCTCCTCGTTTTCCTCCTTGTTTTCCTCCTTGTTTTCCTCCTCATATCCTCCTTCTTTCCTCCTCCTTGAATTCTCTCATTCCATCCTCAATTCCATTTCCTCCCACCCCACCCCTCCATCCTCCATCCCCATCTATTCCTCACCCCATTCCATACTTGTTCCCATTCCATCCTCCCTGAACCCCCCCCCCCTCATCCCTGTATCCCCTACCAGTGACCAAGGCCAAGTCCTCACAACCCAGTGACAATTCTCTATTGCAATATTTGGTAATGGTATTTGGATCTATACAATACTTAGCCATCTGGTCAATCAATGTAGGCCTACCCTAGCCAACTAGTCTGCCTGCACAGGCTCAGTTTTTTTTTCCACTCGATAAAAATCCCTAGAATGACAGGGAAAAAATTACTTTAACAATATTTGGGCTACTTTTCAAGCTTGCTTCCATGAAAATAACATCCTTTAATTTGTTTTGCATTGAACTCTATGCAAAATTTGGGGGCTCTTTTATGACTTTCAGGGGCTCTTTTGGGCATTTCGGGGGCTAATTAGCTCTGAGCCCCCATGTATTTTTTTCCCTGCCCTAGAAGCTTTGAGATGATTGACAGGTGATCCTATGTTTGCCCCAGAGATCGTTGTAGCAGGCTTCATTTCATATTTAAGCTATACATGTAGTTAAAGGATTAGGGTAAGGGCCATTGTTGGATCCAGGGTCGAAGTTGATTAGACTTTGGTAACAGAGACATGTGGCGCATCTTCATCATCTCGAGATTGCCAAATAGCCTGCTATTTCTGATTTGGGAAATAATCCTGAAGTTACAAATCGCGTCTTCATCAGCTCGAGATTCGACCTCAAAACTTGAAACTCGACCTTGAGAAATTAGCTCGAGATATTTTGCTCAGCGTCAGCGCATAGTGCGAGTCTTCGGTCTGGTGAAGACGCAAGGGACAAATAGCTGGATATTTTGCCAAATAGTGGAATATTTTGCAAACTATCCCAAGATATCCTGACGAAATATCCTTCTAATTACTACTTTGGTCTAATGAAGACGCAAGTTAGCTGGATAGTTTGCGGATCAGGATAGTTCAAATATCTGGATATTTGGCAATCTCAAGATAGTGAAGAGTCTGAAGACAGGCCTATAGTGAGTGAGCCTAAACAGATACACCCCTTGACAGTCTTTACCTCGTTATATTTCTAGAGGGCAAACAAATCCAGGTCAGAAGTAGCCTGCATGTTCAACAGGTTGATTTCTTTGCCCTCTTCCTCTAATTTAATTCGAAAGTGTTACTTCCTATTTCCTCTACAAGATAAACTTGATAAAGTGAGTATTCAGAGAAAAACTCCAGGTTCTCTCTTCGCAGTAGATTTTGGCTAGGAGTCAATATACTGTATCTTCATCTTCACATTGTTTTGTTTTTAGATAATCGCAAAAGCTTGATATCTATCCTAAAAGATTACTGTCTGAATTGTAAAGTTTAATAAGTGGTAATGATGCATGATCATATCATATTCTTAGGATATGAAAATGGAACTTGCCAAATCAATAACCCCACTTCAAAAACATGTAATGCCTTGCACAGAAGTATAAAGCGATATACAACAAAAAGTCTATTATATCACGACGATTGTCAGTACTTGTTTCTTTTTATTGATGCTGTGAACTAGCTGGATTCTACTGTAGCCGTGGCAAAGGCCGTAGGTCAGTTCGTGTTTTTGGTGTCAGTTCTATCAGTCTACACCTGTTGCAAAGCTTAATGCCCAAAAAAGATTAATATTGATATTACTGTGACAGGTTTTCATGTTCTGTCTGGTTTAGATTGGAAGGAAATGCACTGTTTACAAGATGACTGTGGCTCGTGAGTCTGATCCAAAAAGTAATCATGCTAACCATTTTTTACGGATTTGTGACAAGTTATCTATTTTGTCATATTTACTGTTCACTGTTGAATTTCCATTTTTTTTTTACATTGTTGGCATCAGTAGGATAAATGTCTTTTGTTGTTGTTGAAGTTTTTTTACTCTTAATAATTATGTATCAACTTTGTGTTGGAAGAGCCAACACTTTAGCTTATTATAGATATTGTACCATCAAATCTCTATTTGTGATAACCAATGTTTACTTTCTATTTGATAGTTTTTACACCTATGACAGCGTGGGATAAATGTCCTTTTCTGTTGATGTTTGTTTGTTAATGTAGTTCATTATACACCCAGGCTGTACCAGAAGAGCCAATGTTAAAGCTGGTGTTTCAGACATATTGTACTTTTCCTTATTTACAGATCTTTATTTGTGATGATTACTGTTTTATACTTCCATTTGATAGTGTTAAGGCGAGGCGTCAAAAATAAATATACCAGCCAGCGGCAGCTAACTGCACTTGTGCGTCCTGGCTGCATTTTTTAAATTAGCTCAGCCGGCTACCGCTGGCGGTAGGACCCTCAATTAACTCATGATGTCATCATAATGGTCTCCGAACAAAAGCATGCGCCGGCTGCCGCCTTTCGAATGGAAACCGAGCCTCAGATCCCAGCCTGGCGCAAGCCGGCTGGGCTAATAAGTGAAAAATAATTGCCCCAGCCAGGCTTCGGCCGTAATTACAGCCTCGATGCGCCAATACGTGAGGCGGCAGCCTGCTGGTATCGATATTTTTGACGCCTCGCCTAAGCTGGTGGCAGTGGATGGATAAATTTTGCCTTCTTTTATTTTGTTTCTCATTAAGTTACCTTGATTATAGACCATTACCCATCAATATTATATTCCATGGGCCAATGTTAGAGCTGGTTTATCAGAAATGATGTTCTTTTCATATGTTAATTACTTTATTTTATGTAAATTTCTGTTTACCTTCATGTGATTTTTTAACTGGTGGCAGTGGTGGGATAAATTTTGCTCTCTTTTGTTTTTTTTTCTTATTCCAGGTGTTATTCACTATCCATCAACATTATATCGCAAGGGCCAATGTTACTGAAGGGCTGGTATTCTAGAAATAATGTACTTTTCAAATCTTTATTCGAGATAGTTAATGATGTAAACTTTCTATTTGATAGTTATAAGCTTTTGGCTGCGGTGGGATAATTTTTGTTTTCATTCTAATGTTAGATCGTTATGTATCAACATTGTACTGTAAGAACCAATGTTAAAGCTGATATTTCAGAAATATTGTACTTTTCAGATCTATATTTGTGATGATTAATTACTGTTTTCTTTCATTTGATGGTCTTTAGCTGGTGGCAGCAGTGGGATCAAATCTGCTTTCTTTTCTTTTTTTTCTTATTATAAATCGTTATTCATCAACATTATATTGCAATGTTAGAGCTGGCATGCCAGAAAAATTGTACTTTTTTTGGGGTTATATTTACTTTTTATTCCATGTGATTTTTTAAGCTGATGGCAGCGGTTGGATAACTTTCACCTTGTTTTATTTTGTTTCTCATTTCAGATCATTATGCATCCACATTATACTGCAAGAGCCAATGTGAAAGCTGGTTATCTCGAATCAACAGCAAGCTAGTGGAGGATTATCTTTCAAGTCACTTTCATTTCTTACAGTTCGCATATTACAATGGTAAGAAAAGCCAACGTATGATTTCCTTTGCCATAAGACATGTCAAAACAGTATTTGTTTGCAAAATGAACAAATTATCTTTTTTCATTATTTTGGTAAAAAAAGTCTGAAATCAAATTCCACATCTGCATTATTTTGATTTGCAAAACAGTCAAAGATGAAATTCGCAAACATTTTTACACACACGTTATCAAAACTCCCCTTAAAATTATTTTAGCTAAAGAAAAGTGAAAGAAAATAAGTGCAGTCTTACCTTAATTGAAATGAAAATGAAGAATGTTTGAAAACTTAGATTATTTGCTTATAAATATCATTTTAAAATGGTTGTCACTGACAGGTGGCTACCTCATCAACTCATCTCTCAATTAACATAAGAAAAAGAGGATCATGGGGGACCAATGGTTACCGATTAGGCATTGTTTTCTATAGAGGGAGCACGTAGCTACAAGTAGGACAGTGAGGCTTTACAGGTTAATAAGGAGGTCAGTCCTGTGCTAATTTCTACTGCTATCTCTCTCTTTCTTTCCATCAGTCGATGATGTCCAGAATGCGGTCAAGAACGCTCTCTCATTCCTGATCCTCAAGCCTGAAGACGAGGTGATGCACCAGAACATTGCCTTCTACAAGGGCATGAAAGACCCCGCCCTGGAGTTTACCCCCCGGACCGACGTGGAGAGGTACCATCAGCTCGTCCAGATGGAAAACAAGATGCTACAGTACGCCAAGAAGAACTTCTGGGAGGAGGATGCGGAAGAGGTAATAAAACGTTTGGACGGGATGTTGAATAAGTTTGATGTTGATGAGGGGTACCAGGGTGATGAGGATGAGGAGGAGGAGGAGGAACCGGAGGATGAGATGGAGGGGGATGAGGTAGATGGGAGAGAGGAGTTCCTCCGGAAGCATGGGTATAAGAGTCGGAACGATCTCGGGAGGAAAGATATTTTCCTTAAGGCGGAGCATGTTCTGAACGATGCGAAGAAGTATGCGGAGGAGGCGAGGCGGTACCGACAAATCATCCAAGACGTTGATCGACCGAAAGCGCAGCTATTGAAGAATGTCCTAGGGAACGGGCTTGGGACAGGGTCAGGGAAAGAGGTTAATGAAACCAAAGAGAACATTGAAGATGATGAAATGGGTGCGGAAGTGCTCCCCCGGGCCTCCGAGATAAGTGAATTGCCTTTAGATGGGGCCAGTGCTGGGACAGTACACGACCACTAGTACTTACAAACTCATTCCACTTTCCGTCTTTGGTAAAAGCAAATTGAACAGTTACTCCATAGAATTCTCACTTCACCTTCACAGTATACATGTATGTGTCTGTATTTCTGCAAGGTAGTTTCTTCATTCTGTTTCAGGAAAGTAACTTCTGGAAGTGAAACAATTATACCTTTTTTCATTGAGTTGAGATCTGATTTACATTTAGCATTGCTTGGTGCAGAACTCTTTCTTTTCTTCATAGTAATGTGTGTTCTGGCACAAAACAAGTGTGTTCAAGAGTTTCTTTAAAATAAGTCAGGACACTGATATCAGTAAATCCTTTCCAAACTTTCTTTTTGGTGCTATTTTATGTTGATTGTTGGTGTGGTTGCATATATGTGTTGAAGTAAGAATTGATTATTGCTTTTTGTGTTTGTGCATTCACAGGTTTGATGCTTTTCTCTTAAATTTTAATGTTTAAAAATGTTTGACTTACTTGTCCATCTTTAAAAATCATGGTCAAATGAATTGATCTAGATTAATGATTTTCAGAAGTAAAATCATGATTTGAAACAGTTTACAATTAATTATCAATAGTAATGTGATTTCCAAGACAACACTAATTAAAGGCTTATGTTTTATTTTGGCTGATATCAATAGATTATCAAACAATTAACGAACAAGCGAGTGAATCTCAGATAGAGACAGCTTAACCAGATGTGGCGTATATAGGAAATATATTGTCATGGCAGTTGCATGTCATATGCATCCTTCAAACTGACCCTCAAACACACAAATATCTTTAGAAGGAAATCCTCTATTGCTGGACCACAAAATGTGTTCCCACCCATTGTTCTGGTACCAACATCCTTCCTCAGTCCTGAATAAAAATATGTTGAATTGCCGTTTGGTCTAGAACCAGTTCGTCTAATACTCAATTAGTCTATTCCCATGTGGTCCACACCCAGCTCATCTACTATCCACATTAAGGCTGCGACGAGTAGTCGAATGCTTGAGTACCCTCACGGTTGACAACTACTCGGGTATGATTTCTCGTACCCGAATATTCGGCCGCAAAAAAAAAAAAAAAAAAAAAATCTGTCCAGGCCGACGCTTACCCGTGCCAGGGAGAGAGGCAGCCGCTCGCATAGTACCGTCGGTAAAAATGTTCCCAAACTCAAGCACAGTCGTCAAACTCACCACTCAGAAACTGGAACCAAATTTCCAGATTTCTGTTTGGACTTGGAGGAAAATGGATTATTCTGCCATCTTTGGTTTTTAAAACAGCATTGTTTACTGTTATTATTATTATTAAATCAGCGCCTTCAACTGCAACTCAAAGTAAAATTGCATGCGTTTTCGGCGACAGACCTGGGATACTGATCCATTGGTATGGTGGTGGCAAAAAACAAAAAAAAAATCCAAAAAAAAAATCAAAAATTCAAAAAAATTCAAACAAATTATAAAAAACATGGCGTCCGAATATTCAAGTATTCGCTTGTAAGCCTGGGAGTGTACTCGGGTACCTCATTACATTGTTGTGCACAGTCTTAATCCACATGGTCTAATAATCATTCCATCTACTTATCATTTGGTCTAATGACCATGAAGGCTAATAGTTATTTGGTCTAATCTCCAATTAGTCTACTAACCATTTGGTCTATTGTTCATTTAGTCTAATCACCTGTTAGTCTAATTCCCAGTTTGTCTAATGGCCATTTCGTCTACCATCCATGATGTCTACTAATTATTTGATAATTATAATTATCAATGATTGAATGATCATTGAAATGATTATTAGACCATGGGGAAAATAGAGGGGCTTGGTGTAGACCATATATGGAAAATTGGGGGGGGGGGGGGTACATCTGTACTCTCTTAGGTTGTCAATGACCTATAGAACGTTTGCTGACAGGGGCATTTAGTCTGTAAAAGTACAGATGAGTTTAATACCATCCTTCTGTCTTTCAGTCTCAGCAGACTCTGCAAATGTTCTTACCGTAATTAACTTGATTTCTTTATCTTACATTTACGCAGCCTTCGAAAACAGGCGCTCCCAATAAAGTCTTATCCCAGGTACAGGTAGGTCCTATAGCTTACGCTGTTGAAGTTGTGCGGTCGTTCCCTGGTAAATCAAGCATAATGGCTCTCAGCAACCAATCTTGGTTCCTAATTTCCTTTAGCCTCTCTTCTGTCTTTATTTACATATTATATTTTTGCAAGTTACAGTACTTCAAAGTTTAAAGAGTTTACAAATATATCTTCCCAATAGGTTTTATCCCAGGTGTAGCTGATTATTGATCTTGTGTGCGGTCAGTCTTTAGCAAATCAAGTGCAATAGACATCCCTATTATGCAATGAAGTAAGATGGACAATATAGTCACCTGATCAGTCACATGACCTTGGGATAGCAGTGTGGGTTTTGTTAGATTGCTTTACTGCATTTGACCTTGATTGACCTAAAATCATGCAGGAATCAGGTGTGTTTACACTCTTCAGCCTGCAACCCCTCAACAATAATCTGTAATTGTAGGTTAGATTGTGAATCATCACAGGCAGATGAAAATATTTAAAACTGATTCAATTATTGAACTTTTACGTTTTGTCTGAAAGCCCTTCATTAGCTGCATTTACTTTTCAACCAAAAATCATTGATTTTTCTTACATTCGGCACGAACAAATCAAAATCAAAACCTTCCCCCCCCCCCCCCCCCCCCCGGAATTTTTTTTTTTTAAATGCCTGCTTATGTTTCACCGATTTTGTGCAGTGTAAAAGCAAACTTCGGTAAGATACACATTTTTGCTCTTATGACTCTCCTTTCTTTCGTGCTAACCCCAAAGTTCCCAACCAATACGATTTTTCTTAAGATTTTTAGAAGTAAATATGACAGTAGGATGTTTCCTCAATAAAATACCCTTACAAAAAAATAAAAAATTGTGCAGGGTGCCAAAAATTCTCCCTGAATCGGTATGAGCAAACTTCAACAGTTTTTTATTGTTTTTTCCAGTATTGTTAATGGATGTGTAAATGGGCCTATGTATAGCTTGACAGGTAATTATCTAAATGTTATGGCATGTAGTCACACAGAGGAAAATCATTTAGCTAAAAAGTAAAGGTTAGGGTAGTGGTCTCAATTAAAGGTTTCTTTATGCAATGCTCATTCTGTGAAAACTCCCCATGTGTGAAAGGGGACTTTGAATGATTTAGGTCAGTGCTTGTCTCGTCTCATTGAGCAATTTCTAGCTCATTAATTCACACCTGACGTGATGCAGGATATATGTCTCTAATGAAGCAAGAACCAACCTGTGGGCTAGTATAGGGTAATGACTGGACCTTGATCCATACCCTCGAGCTCGTCACTCCGTCAGATGAGATTGATATTTTTGCTCATCAAGACATTGATCTACATTTGCCACACTCAACCCAGGTGATGAAAACGGTTACCTAACATGAATTAATTCCTTGAAATGCTAGAGCGCTGTAATGGCAGCACAGCTAATTAAGCCTGGGTAATAATCTCAAAGTTTGGAGGCGCTTAATTGTAATTCATGCTTTATGAAAGCTGGGTATTATTATTATTATTATTATTATATCCATTCCTATGTTAGCAATTTGTGGACAATGTCATAAATTAACTTTAATAAGTAAAACATTTCACTGGTAATCACTTTGATAAATTGGGCATACTTCCCTCAGAAATAATTTTTTTTTTAATTGTCTGCATTCAACTAGACTATATTTAAAAGATGTGTCTGATTGGAAGTGAAGGAAGAGAGAAAAACATGATTTATGAGTTCTATTTTTTACCTTTGTAAGGGAAATTTAGCAACGCAAACTCTTGTTAAAAGTATGAGGCATCACAAGTCAGGTATTCTGTTGAGTGAAATCTTCACTGAATCTGACAGGGATTTCCTGATGTTTATTTGTCAGAGACACAGATTATGATACGGATATGAGGAGTTTCATCAGCAAATTAACTTTAATTATTAAATCTTTAGTCCAGGACTGTAGACTGGTATTATTGTTACATATTTAAGTCAAGTACGTTTGTGCTGTCATGCTGGATTCAATCTGTCACTTGCGGTTGCTACTCTGGACCAGTAGCATCAGACTCTAGCAATGTTCACACGTGGGACCGTTGTAGTTTTAAACGTTAAAGGTGATACAAAGTTTTGGTATGGGGTCATGAATTTGGTTCAAATGAACATATTGGAAGCATATATATGCAATCCTACAATATTCAGTGATCGTTGTCGGGGTTGAAATCGAGTCTAAAGTGATGAAATTGTAAATAATAAACTCTTTATTTTGTATAGCGCCCTCTCAAGGTCAAGATATTAATTAAGCTATAAAACAATGTTATTTGACTAAAATCGACCGATTTGCTATTACCGTTTGGAATATATAAATCAGATCTGCATATTCTGAGATTTTTATAGTCGCAGCTGCCAACGTCTGGCCTGTGGCGCTATTTCAAATTTATCAAAATTTATCGGGAGCACCGGTAAATTTTTATAATCAATTTTTCTCGAAAGCAGAAGAGTGTAAGTGGCTAAAA